GTCTGTGTCTGTGTCTGTGTCTGTGTCTGTGTCTGTGTCTGTGTGTCTGATCTGGCTGGCTGTCTATCTGATCTGGCAGGCTGACAGGCTGGCTGACCGACTAGCTGGCTGGCTGGCTGGCTGTGTATATGTTATACATCTGGATGTGGACTGGCACTGCTGTTCTTTAATGATTCAGCTTGAAGGAGATGAAGAGGCTTGTTTGACACGCCTGTCCAAACCTTGCCTTTCTACTCGACTTGACCCCCTACCCCTCCTGCCCCCACGCACACACACACGAACACACGAGGCATACAAAATAAGCACCAGGGCAAACCACAGGCAAATGCAAAGCTCAACTTTGACAAACATGCGCGCGCGCACGCACACACACACACACCACATACACAGACACACACACACACATGCGCAGGCGCATCGAAACGCCCAAAGCACCCCCTGCAAAGCAAGATTCAAACAAATGTGGGGATGCATCCCTTCAGGAGGTTGGCAAGTTGTCCTCATCTAATCCCGTAGCTGGTCTGTGGGAACCAGTTGAAAGCGTCGCACAAAAGCATGGTAACATGCCCACAGCTTGGGTGCCGACGCCTGATATGATAGCCCGGCAGCATCGAACATCGTGAGCGGGGATCAAAAAAACATAAAATAAAATCAACGGCATGCCAGAGCTCTTCGAGGACCACACCGACCTCGAGCACAGACGGGTGGTATGCCTTGCAATGGATAAGAATGCGGTAGAGACGCCGAGCCGTCGACGCCACGTGGGCTTGCACCGCCTTCTTTTCAATGGAGCTCCTGCGCAGGACACAACACGTACGTTAGAACGACCACTACCGCATCGCTTGGAGCCACGGGTGCAAGCAAAACAATTCCCCCTTTGTCTGGCAGCTCAATCTCTCGGGGCAACCCACCGCATGGCAAAATGCTTTTCACTACTCAGAAGAGCCTCGGCCTGTGCCAACGAGTGCATGCAGTAGGACACTGCATCGCACTAAACGTTCGCCCCCACCCGCATCAACATGAGTGAGCCAAACAAACTCTTTCAAAGATCACGGGCACGAATCTGGACCGACACAATAGTCACACCCGCCAAGATGCAAAAGACGAGCACCAGATCCCACCTCCTGCGGTACGGCATGACCGCCAGCACACATGAAGGTGGTCTGTTCGTCGGCGCGCATAATCGTGCAATTGTCATCTTCGCAACATTCCTACCACACGCGCCGGTATCAAGTCAAGCCAGTGCTCTTTGTGCCTGTCTGTGGGCGGCAATTGCACATGTCCAGAAGCCATACACCTGGCGGCGGGGGGAGGCGCATCGATCGGTCCAAGGCCATACCTGGCGCATGTGAACCGTCAAGATACCAAGCTGAATGGTATAGAATCGCATCCACTCGTACACCCAGCACGGTTCGTCCGCACCCTCGGGCAACTCATGCAGCGCCTCGGGCGTGGCTGCGGCAGAGGCCCAGCCCTCGACAAAAGCCTGGTAACCCTCTGCCACATCCTTGGCCAGCTGCAGTGACACATCCATCCCAAACCGTCTCCAGCTATGCCTCAACTCCCGCTATCCAGTACGCCTCCACGACCGCCACGACCGCGCGTCACTCTCTCTCTCTCTTTTTTTTTTTTTCTCAAAAATTTCGAAAAAAAACAAAAAAAAATAATTAAAAATAGGAAAAGAAACTCAAAAATAGAGAGAGAACGAGCACTGGCGTCAAAATGCTGACGTTTTGGCGTTCACACACACACACACACACACACACACACACAAATGGCGGCGCGATCGTCGATTCGGCGGTTGCCAGTCGAGACGGGGCAGGGGGCAGGGATCGGAGGAGGCAGGGGTGTTCGTGGGATGGATCGACGAGAATCGAGCGAGTTGCGTGATATTGAGCTGCAAGTTCGTGCGGAAGAGCTCCAGGTAACAATGATCCAATCGAGAGATGGCGCTCCGCCCCCGCATGCTCCTGTCATGATGCATATGCTCTCACACCCCTTGCCGCGCTGATTGTTGGGTACTTGACGACGTAGGTTCTCGGTGAGCTAGAGGAGGATGTGCGCCAGTTGACCGAGTGTGAACGACTCCGACACCAGCTGGCTGAGGTTCGTCAATATTATTATAATTCGACTCCAGCAGCCTGGGTGTACATGTCCGTCGCCCGCATCCACCCGAGCACTGAATCGACGTGGTTCACGGCTTGCAGATCATGGAGCAAAGCCAGTCCGTGCTGGCTCAAATTGAGGATTACAATGCAAGGTTGCAACACCTGTTAGCCCACCCCGCGATGCGCACCGAACAGGACGTGATTGGTCGCTGTCAACGACAAGTTGCCATGGCCTCGAGCAAGCTGCACCGCATGCGTGGCCGACGTGAGGAAGTTACGAGCAAACTGGACGAAGCCGAGCAGCTGGCCGGATCCGTCCGCTCGCTGGGCACCTCCCGTGACACGACCGTTTGCCACGCCCTCAACGGGCTCGCCAATACCAAACTCCTCTACGCGGCTGGGGAACAGCTCAAGCCCGAAGTAGGTGTCGCGCCCGTGACTTTTCCACATCCTCTATTTTGATCTTCCTTTCGCCTCCCGCTTGAACGTATCTCTTCCCATGGAACTTGCCTTGCACGACTCTTTCTGATGTGCTGCTTGGACGTCTCGCCTTCACAGATGTTTGAACAGCTGCGTGCCGTGACGCTAGCCACTCAAGACTTGAGCGTCTCTCATAGCAACGCCCGTGCGCGCATGGTAAGCCCGTGTCTTTATTCGCGCGCGCACACACACACACACACACACACACACATACACACACACACACACACACACACTTACAAATAGCATCATCACCATCCCTCTACAAGCAAAGAGGTGGCCGCCTTCAAACACAACCCACCCTAATCTCGTCACCACCACACAGCCAGCTCAACTTTCACAGGGTTGCGTGCACTCACGACTCATAAATGCCCGGACTGCATACCACAGGAACTGTGTTTGCGCGGGGCCAAGCGACTAATGGCAGATTTGGAGCCCGTCGATCTCTCTTTCGTCTCGGAACAAGTGGCACAGTTGGAAGAGCGTTTGGCCGACTGACACGTTGAGTTGAGGCTCGACAAGCGTGAATGCTGTTATCATGTAATCGATTTGAGTTGCCCTCATGCTCTGCATCCTAACGATAAGAGACATGACCAGTGTATGTCTGACCACCACCCCTTGCTCAACATTCTCCAATTCTTTTTTCTCACCCTTTCGAGCTTTCTTCTCTTGCCTCTCTCGCTCCCCATTCCGGTTCATTTCGACGACCGGGAGAAAACAAAAACAAACAAAAGCCTATTTGTCGACGTAGCGCAGGGCTACAATGGCGACAGCCGCAGTGATGACCACTCCCGAGAGTAAACCACCGAAAAAGGAGCGCGCTGCCACCTTGCGAATAGCGGAGCGGGGAATCTAGCCCATCCAATGCAGCCAGCACGACAACCTGGGATGAGGGGCGGCGCGAAGGACGACGGCGATTTACAAACTGCTGCCCCCCGCCAAATGAGACCAACCTGGCGGGTTGCGTGGGAGGTCTTGCTCTTTGGCCAACAGGTGAGCTAAAGCAGATCAAAGCAACCCATCAAAAGTGCGTCGTGGCCGATCAAGGCGGGGCAATGCCAGGGCATGGGGCATGGGCCCGGGCAAGAGAGATGACCACACAAGATCATGTGCCCCGTGCATTGAGGCCACCAGCGAGGAGAAGCGGCCACCAACCCAAATTTGATAGCCGTTGATGGGATCAGTGAAGATGAGGCCTTGCATGGTGTGTTTGCCCTTGAGCTTGAACGGGATGTTTCGCGCCTTGAGCAGCTTTCTGTGGACGAGAAATGGTGGCAGTGAGTAATGCCCGTGTGCGCTCTCGGGCCATAGCAACTGTGATCAAGCAGGAGAGCCAGCCGGCCGTACTGGGCATGAGCAAAGCCATGCTCGGAGACGCGAAAGGCAATGTAGGAAAGACCGCGTGAGGAGCCCGGACAGAGGGCAACGCCACTGTTGTTGCCTGGACAGGTCATGAGCGCAGGATCGAAACCAAAATCCACTTCGCTGCTGTATTTGTGATCACAACCCAGAATGGTCTTGTAAAAGTCAACAGTCCGGCTCACATTGGCCGTTTGGATTCCAATGTGGTCAACGCATTGGAGAAAGAGCGGCGCCATGCGCTCGCCGGCAGCAGCCGCACCGCCGGCCATGGCTTCGGTTGAAAATGGAGACGCGGCGCTGCACAAATGTGGCGGAGGCAAGATGTTAGCTGTGCCAGAGGTGCGTCCAGAGATGGGTGCACGAGCCACCCGGGACCGACGACAGCAATCGGCAGACTCGGAGGACTCGTTCCTGCCTGCGTGAACAGACACGGCGTGACTGGCTGCGTGAGGGCTTGGGCCACCGGTGACGTTGGACAAGGCTTGCGACACGGCCGTTCGAGCCGCGCGATACCCGGCACGAAGTCGATGCAGACGCGATCGGCTTGGCGTGGCGGCCGACGCCTGCTGAAGCTGGTGCTGCTTGCGTGTCCGCGCCGCCGCGTAGGCTGCCAAAAACGATGCCGAGGGCAGCGGATCCACGTCCCCCAAACCCGCGCCTCCTCGCTCCAAGCCAGAATCTTCCCCGCCGCGCTCAATGGTATCCGCTGCCGTTTGATCAGTTCCAAGCGAAGAAGGTGAGGAGCCACGGCCGCCGTCGCAGTCTCCGTCGTCGTCGTCGTCGAGCGCTGACGCCGACGGAGAGAGAGAGAGAGAGCGAGCGCGCAACGACGAGAGAGGCGCGGAGGCCATTGTCTACCCGAATCACAGACACTTGTGATTTTGTGAATTGTCAGAGCGTGGAAAATTGCGGGTTGAACTATTTGAATTTATGCAGAAAAACTCGACTTGACGACACGGCCTTGGGTCGCTTTTTGTCGAAACGAAGGCCTTTTGTTGAACTGATGTCTCTCCAATGAAAGCCAGATTAATACCTTTCTCTGATTTTAGCACGTCACTGTCCTTTATAAAATCTCGCATCTGCCACGTATCTCTGGATCTCAACCCAAATCCAGTCATTCCTCTGATTTTACGCAGAACGACGACAACCGAGAGAGAGAGCGCGCGCGCTCGCGAGTGTGTGTCTGTGTGTCTGTGTGTCTGTGTGCGCGCGCGTCGTTTGTGTGCCTGCAACTGATCAAACGGCAGCGCATCAAGCCCTGATCAAAGCCAAGGCAAAACCGCCACGGAGCAAAGACACGCCCCTTGCTGAGCATTTGGTCCAGACACCCGTTTGTCGCCGTGATAGGAAAGCTGCAAACCTCCCAGCTGAACAGTCGATCGGGACGTCGGCGAGCAAAAGGCTCTTCAAAAGAGGCAGCTCACGCGCGCGGCGGGGGGCGGGAGTCAATGCAGCCGTCCCACGGCTGACAACCGGAACGCCCGCCCGCGTGCCCACGTCGCCTGCCCGTGCCACCAGTTTAGCCCTTGGCCACACGCTGAGACCCCTCCCCTTGTTGGTCCATTTGATTCTCCGTCGCTCTCGCTGGCCACACACCGCGCAGCATGAGCAAGAAGAAAGCTGGAGGCACACGCCCCTCCTCAATGCGGGACCAGGGCGATGCTCCACCCCAGCCCGTTGACCAAACCACTTGGTGCGACCGGTGGTGACTTGAATTTCCCCGTCCCTGCCCGTCCCTGCCACAGCACTCGCGCTCACCATTGCCGGCCTCGATTTCCGGCTGGGTGCTCCTTCTCTAGGCGCTCCTTGCAAACCCAAGATACCATGCAGCAAAGCATCTCCTCTCTCCTTGGCCTGGTGTGGCAGCGCGTGGAGCACCAGATTGATGAGCTTGTCGTCGATCGCAACGTCAAAAAACACGCCGTGGCCGAAGCCGCCAACATGATGAAGTTTGTCATTGAGGTAAAGCTTTCCTGACGCTTCTCCACCCCGCTGGTTCTTCCCCGAACGCCCCGTCCATGGAATTTTGGGCTGCATCGCGAGCTGACACGCGAAACACACTTGACCCCGCCCTCTCGTTGAGCAGACCAACTTTGTCAACGTGGATCCCGGAGAGAGTGCAGAAGACCTCGCATCAGATAGCTGGCTCCCAGGGGCTTCCTGCCCACCCGCAGACATTGACACCTGGGCTCCTGGAAACATGACAATCATATCCCCCAGCGAGCTGGAAGACATTGAACAGACTGACCGCCGCCGCCTGATGGCCCTTCGCCAGAGTGCCCGCACAACTGCCAAGGCGCGCTTTGTGGCGCAACAGAACACGGCCCGTCCCAAATCGGGCAGCAACAGCACCCGTGTGCGCCCCGTACCCCCCGCGACCACGCGAGCCCCGGATGCCAAGGCCATCAGTCTACATCGTCGCCTCGAGACAGCCGGCACTGCTGAAACCACCGCTAATCACACACCTGCGCCCCACCGCCCAGACCACGCCCCACAAGCACATCCGCACACACGCCCTAGTAGCAAACCTACCAGCGCCAGCAGCCAAACCCGCCAGCACTCGGCGACCTCGGCGACCTCGCGCAACGGCTCACCCCCCAGAGACGCCAAATCCCGGCGTATCAAGTCTGCCTCAACCTCGAGGCCGTCCTCCCAAACCCTTGCGACCGCCCACCACCCCGCACCTCCAGTGGCGTTGGACAAACCCCGCACCGCGTCTGCAGGGCGTCGCCGCCCAAAGTCGGGCCGCAGCATTGGCACTCCAGAGAACCTTCCAACCAAACCCGCCTTTGCCGGCAATAAACTCGACAAACTACCTGCCATCTCCCAGTCCTCGTGACACCCCCCCTGTTTTTTTCTCCCTCTTGCCTTGATGTGCTCTGGGCGTGCCTGCTTAATGGCGGTCAACTGGCTGGTGGATGGTGTTTTTTTCTGTTTGTGACCAGTGACCCCTGTGCACTGCCAAGCACGGCTGCAGCGCAGCCTGTTTAGCCCAGCTCCCTTTCTTTGACGGGGAAGTAAAGAACCATCACAGCGAAAATGGAGCTGACGTGGTTGGTCGAATGATCATCTGACGCGCATGTTTGTCCGACCGTTTGTCCTGCCTGCTCAGGCTCCGCTCTTCTTTGTTCTTCCTCCTTCATCGCCCGCTTTTGCATCGACTTCATGGGCACGATTGGCAGAGACGATGAAGCTCGTGTGTTGCAATTCTTTTAATTTTCATGCCTGCTATACATTCGTCCCGTGCGTCGATTTTTTGGGATGGAAACCCCACTCACTCGAACAGAACACAAATGAACAAACAACTTGCAAGGCCATCAGATTTTTACTCCTCGGCACGCCCCGCGTGCACCTCACGCACTCGCCCCTGTCACAGTAACACTGCTGGATTCCGCAACCGGTGCACCATCCAAACTGAGCATGGCACGCCACTCCTTGATAATGTCGGGATATTCCGCAAACACCTGCGCAGAGTTGGATGTGAGGTTGCAAGCCATCAAAAGTAAAGAATTTTAGAGAGTACCAATAGCAGCAGCAGCAGCAGCAGCTGGAGGACCCACCTTGAGAGGAGTGTTATGAAAGTCAACCACCTCTTCGTCGGCGCGCGTGAGACGCACCACCACGGTGTCCCCCAAAGCATTGGCACCCAGCAGCCGCTTGTGCAAGGATGCACGATCGTAGTGAATAATCTCATCATCATCGTGATATATGAGCATCTTCTTGCCCTGCAACGCCGGCCAGGCTCCAGCAGCATCCAAACGGCCTGCGCATCAAGGGATGCATCAACGAAAAGTGAGGGAAATGGCTGTCTAGTTGCCTCCTTTATGACCAGACGAAGACGGGACAAGCGCACCCTTGAAAACCGAGGCCAGAAGACCGCGGGCAACAAAACGCGGAATCTTGACGTATTCCTTGGTCACACGGCCAGCAATCAGTGCTAAAATGCCTGGATGACCACGCATCAGACGTAAGCCACCGATGAAGCAGGACGAGCAAGAAGCCGACTTTGATAAAGACTGCCGCGGCACATTAATAATGGGTTCACGTACTGAAGGCTGCGTCTGGTAGCGAGGCAAAGGAGCGATCCGAGACAATTGGCCCTTGGGGCGAGTGGCATGCTCGCGCCAAAGTACCAATGCCACCGCCAATGCTGCGTCCCAGGAGTAGCACGTGACGTGGATTGGCGGCAAGCTGCTCCTCTAGGTATGTAAGAATCAACATGGCGTCATTCACCAGGTCCTCTCCCGAGGTCGCCTCCCCATCACTGAACGCTACACCTCGGTAGTTGTAAAGAAAGACATTGACGCCCAAGGTCTGCGCAAGCTCCTCCATGATGGCCAAGTTGAACTCATATACTTCGCCGTTGCCTCCCATGTACAAGATCCAACGACGATCAGGTGCTGCGTGCTGGAGTTGTCGTGGGTGTTGATAAAACGCCGCGTCCAAGCGAACACCACGCCCATCGGCAACCACCACATTCGACCACTGGGTTGCACCGTGGCGGTCAGCCTCGAAAAACCGGCGTCGCAATGAGAGACAGGCTTGGCGAGCTTGAACTCGCCGACCATCAGCCGTGACGATGGTTTCATCCAGCATGCCTGTGGCAGGCAAAAGCAGCATTCGCACAACCTAGGCACACCCATCACCGGCCGTCAAACTTACGGGCGGACGAGGGGTCCCGAGCGCGACGAAGCCACTGCCGCAGTCCACTTGAGAGCTCGCCCGTGACGAACGTACCGTTTTGCCGATGAATCCGCGAACCGTCATGGTCAAAAACGCCAAGCCCGCAAAAACGATTGCTAGAATAATGTCCACCACCACCATGGCCGGGTGTGCGTGTGGCCAGCACGTCCAGTGCAGCAAGAATGCCAAAATCAAGCCCACCGCAACCGTGTCGCGCAACGCCGGCTGCTCGGAAGCACAAAGTACAAGCGCCCGGTGCACATCAATGAGGGATGGAGCCAACACAACTGGCCTAGACAACGCGGGCTCGGAGAGTTGATCGGCAGCACTCATCAGGCACACACAAACCTCTTGAGTGTGGGGTTGGCCTGGCAGAAACGCGGCTGGGACCATGATGAACAAGGATGAGAGAGCAATGAGCAGGGCAAGCAGAACCACGGCCATCCAGGCAGTCCACATGAGCATGGTTGTAAGCATGAGATAGGACACGGTCACAGCCGTGGCCAGCAGCAGAATGGAGCCTGCATAAATGGCATAGGCGCCGAGTCCCGCCGCCAGCACCCAAAGCACATACACGTCCCAGCTCCCCTCGCGCCGGCGCGCCTCCTTTGTGGCCGGCTCGGAGAGCAACGGCATGGTGGCAGTTTCTTCCTCGTCCAGCTCAACCTCGTCCTCGTGTTCAGTCATTGACACCTCCTTCCCAGCGATGATCGCCTCGAAGAGATGCTTGAAGAACGCGCGCCACCGCCGTCGTCGCTTGAGATGATGTCGGGTGTTTTTTTTTTTTTTTTTTTTTTTTCCTCTCTCTCTCTCTCTCTCTCTCTCTGTGAGAAGAAGAGAGAGAAAAATGCATTTTTGATGTGTGTGGAGATTCTGAAAAACATAATATGAATCCGAATGTAATTGACTGCCCGCGGGACGCTGTTCAACTAGACATGCAGAACGAGAGGGCTATGGACAAAGCCTTCCCAGGCCCATGATCTTGTGAGAGAAACGCATTCAGTGATGCACACGTGTCGATTGTGCTTGGCTCATCATGTGCTTCAAAGGCAAAAAAAAAAAAAAAAAAAAAAATCCCGCCATCCGCTGTCGTTGCAGATCCAGCTGAAACTGCTCTACCAATTGTCACCACCGTTCAAAAAGTCCGAACCATAGGTAATGTCGCGCGTCTTCTGCTGCTGGACATTGCTGAGCTTGGGGCACTCTGTGATACGATGTCCTGGGCCACCACAGTAGCTGCAACCTTGGACATTGCCGGTACCCAGAAAGCGCTCGTGCTCCGACTTGAGTTTGCGCAAAAAGGGTGGGATGCGTTGGCGCGCCTCCTTGAGCAGATACTTGAGATCAAGGAGTGTCGTCATCGGCACCATGTCGGACACAAAGGTGGTGGCCAGACCCGTCTTGCCGGACCGCCCAGTACGACCGATACGATGCACGTAGTTTTCCAGCTCCTCGGGCATGTCAAAGTTAATGACATGCTTGATGTCTGGGAAGTCAAGGCCCTTGGAAGCAATATCTGTTGCCACCAAGACATCCTTGCGGCCTTCTTTGAAACCCTTGACGGCCATGTCACGCTCCTCCTGGTCCTTGCTGCCGTGAATGGCCGCGGCATGGACGCCCTTGAGCAGAAGATATTCATGGATGTCATCCACGTCCTGCTTCTTCTCCGAGAAAATCATCACGGGCGGTGGTGTTTTCTGCAGACACTCGAGCAAATACACCACGCGCGAGTCGGGGTTGACATACTCCACCTCCTGGATCACATCCAACGAAGCCGCACCCGCTCGGCCACCAACATTCACTGTCACCGGCTTGACCAAGGCACTGGCGGCAAAGTCTATGCGAAAAAGAAACGGCCACCGGGTGCACAAAAGTCGGAGCCATGGTGAGCCGGATCTGAAATCTGATGATGAAGAGGTCATTCTCGAGTGGTTGCAGACTGGGGCCGGCAGGCGCAAATGTCACACAGCACGGTTCCACCCCGGTGTGTTGAACGCACCTTTAACCTTGGTAGGCATGGTAGCACTAAAGAGTAGCGTCTGTCGCTGCCCCTTGAAGTATGAAAAGATGGTTCGAATCTGCGGGCATAGCATGGCACAACAGTAGGCAGTGCCAAACATGAGCTCTGGCAGGGGTCATTACCTTTTATTCAGCGGTCAACGAACAAGTTAAGCCAGCCCCACGATTCCCAGCGTCAACGCAGGCAAAACACTTTGAACATACGTCATCTTCAAAGCCCATGTCTACCATGCGATCGGCCTCGTCCAGGCAAAAGTACCGGCACACGTCCAGGGTGATCCGCTTCTTGCCGAGGACATCAATGAGGCGACCTGGAGTGCAGACGGCAATGTGTACACCGTTTTGGCAACGCTCCATCACCTCTTGCATCGACAAGCCACCAATGCAGAGCATGATGCCCAGCTGGGGATAGCCCTCCTTCGCCAGGGCATCGGTAAATTCTATCAAAACGTCATAGGTCTGGCGGGCGAGCTCGCGACTGGGAGCCATGATGATGGCAAAGGGGCCCTCGCCCCCCACAAAAGGCATCTTGATCTCCTGGTCCAGGGCCAGCATGAGAGCGGGGAGGGAGAAGGCCAGAGTTTTGCCAGACCCCGTGAATGCAATCCCGATCATATCACGTCCCGACAAAGCCACGGGCACGCCTATCAAAGACCACAACCCCAGAAGAGAATGCAAAATGATGAAGCGAGGTTTATTAGGCCAGCCCTTTTTGAGTTGCCACTCCACACGGTGGCCCCAGGCAAATGCAAGCGAGGACCGACAAACCTTGCATCTGAATTGGAGTTGGTTTGACAATACCCTTGGCGTCCAAAAGCCGCTGAATGGGCGGGGCAAGCTTCAAGTCTTGAAAGCGGCGCACAGGTGGGGGAATATTGTCGCCTTGATTGTGACGGACCAAAGAGCCCATTATGCATCGTGTCGAGATGAGTAAGAGAGTCCAGCGCGGAGAGGAAGCGCAGCACTGCGTGGGCAGATTCAACAGATGGCAGGGGCTCACCTTCAAGTTCCATGTGCTTTCTCGCTCGGAATTTGTCGTGCTGCTCCTGAGGCAAGTCGCGAAGATAGCTAAACAAGGGCAACCAGCGTCACGCCAGAAAATGAGCTAGCAAATTGGAGGCCAGCAAACCGTGCGCACACGCAAGGCAATGCAGCGGCTGAACGGCGTGAAGCGGTTTACGGGACGTACCGAGGAGGGCGCCAAGAGGTTTTGAGCGGTTCTGTGTAGGAAATACCCTTGGCCAACTCCTCGACGGACTTGAGCTCCTTGGCGTGGCGAATGTTGCGAAGGATTTCCTCCTCCTGCTTGAGCTGAATGTCCAGTTCCGACTCGACGCGCGGGCCTTGTGCGCGCTTGAGCTTTTCGTGAGCCTCCATGAGAGAGATGCCAGCTGCAGGTCCCTCACGAGCCCCCTGCTCGGCCTCTTGCTGGCGGCGACGCTCCTCGCGCGCCTTCTCCTCGAGCGTGGGCTGCTTGCGCCGAGCCAGGCGCTGAGCCTGCATCATTTCCTTTCGCTTTTTAACGGGCACGTAGACGTCATCGTCCTGGTCCTGTCCCTCTGGTCCAACCTCCACTGCCAACGTCTCTTCGCGGTCCGAGTCCATGGCCGCTGGTCCGATCCAAACGATTCAAACCCCACGCAAGGACAGCAAGCCGGTATTTCCTATACACCTGCTGTGTATCAGTCTACAACCGCCCGCCCACCAACACACAGTTGGGTCAACAGGCGACAGTGGCAGCGAGGGCGATGCCGTTTCCTGCTGATCGTCGACTGTCGTTCCACACACACACACAAGAAAAAAAAAATGAAAAAGAGGTGTGTTAAGAAACGAGAGGTGTTGTTGAAATTAAATGCATGCGGTCTGTCTCTGTCTCTTGTGCTTTTCCTTTGTGTCTTTGCTCTTTATTTCTCTCTTTCTCAAACCGACCAAACCAATTCATTCTGTCTCTCTGTCTCTGTCTCAGTCTCGGTCTCGGTCTCGGTCTCGGTCTCGGTCTCTGTCTTGGTGTCGGTCTCTGTCTTTGTGTCGGTCTCGGTCTCGGTCTTGGCGCAAGACGGTCATGGAGGGCAAGGAAGATGCAGCAAGGACGGAGATGGGAGAATATGAGGAGTTGGATGGGCATGTTTCGATTGTTGGGACAACAGCGTGGCAATGATGGGTCGCATTGCCCACACCACTGTCAAATGAGCAAGGATGAGAGGGAAGAGGTCAGCCAACAGAAAGAGGGGTTGGCCATGGAGAAAGGACGAGAAGCTGGAATTGAAGGAAATTAAAAAGAAGAAGTGATTGTCTCAGGACGCTGAAGAGACAAGACAAGAGAAGAAAAGAAAAAAAACGGCAAGAAGAAGCCAAAGGCCTATCGCTTGACCCATTGGAATTTGCGGCGAGCCTTCTTTTGACCAGGTTTCTTGCGTTCGACGACGCGCGCATCACGAGTCAGGAAGCCACCTAAATACCCATGACCCCCGTGCATCAATGAATGAGGACGAGACAGCACACAGCATTAAAAAAAAAGAATTTAAACTCAACACCCGTGCCAACACGGTGCACGTGCTTACCCTTCTTCAAAATGGGACGAAACTCGGGGTTCAAGGTTTCCAGGCAGCGACTGATGCCCAGGCGGATGGCACCGGCTTGTCCTAAGGTATGACAGGCCAAAGGGTTGAGACAGGGGTGAGAAAGAGTGATCAAAAAAAGCAAAAATACACAAAATCTCCACCAGCCTCGCATCCTGGACGCCAAAAGCCCAATGGCGCATACCCGTGTAGCCACCACCCTTGACAGTGCACATGATGTCATAATCGCCGAGGATATTCAGTGCAGCAAAGGGTTGGAGCGCATGAACCCTGTCATCATCCATCACACCACGGTTGCTTCTCGTGAGCAAACGCACAAGTCTCATTGTGAACGCTTTGCCATGACAAGCCCACTCAACATACTTGGCGTCGTCTGTGCCGAAATAGTCGGCCAGCGTGCGGCGGTTCACCTTGAACTGGCCCGTGCCAGGCCAAACCCACACTCGTGCCACGGCATCCTTGCGGCGACCTGAGGGAAGACCGATCACGAGAAGTGCGCACATGAGCACGGAATGTCGATGCACGAATGCAAGGAAATCATGACGCGCTTACCCGTCGCATAGGCACGACCCAGGTCGTCGATCTTCCGCGTGCACCAAGCCGGGCCAGAGAAGCGAACAAAGCAAAATTAGGCGCCGGCAAGCAAAACGAACAGCCCCAGCGTGCAGCAGGCAAACACAGGACATACAATCTTCTTGCGATCCGTGGGCTTGGAGCGTGAGGTAAAACGCATAAACTCGGAGAGCTGGCGCTCAATCAAGTATGCCAGCGGGTGGTCGCGGAGGCGATGAAGACGCGAAATAATCTCACGATACTAGCAAGAGAAGAAACGGAACCACAAGCCATGCCAGATTAAGGTCATGTCGAGGGGGCAGCACGGCAGCCTAGCTTGTCTTGCTGAGTTGAGATGAACGACAGGCTGTCTCACCTGAAGGATGCGAAGTGGGGAGCCAATCATGGCCTCGAGCTCACCGCGCTTGAGCCAGGTGACATCCGATCTGAGCCAGAGTAACAGGCGGTGCAAAGGGTTTGGTGAGTTGACACATATTGTTGCCAGAACGTCGTTCGATTCCGAGGCACGTGTGCAGGCGATGACAGCAGGCGTAAATTGGGCACACACCGGTCGATGTAACTCTGCGGCTCCTCTTCGCCGTCCTCCGAGTGGGCCTGCGCTGCCGTCTTATCCGACTCGGCAGAAGCGGCCTCGTTGGTAGTGGCGGCCTCGGCGGTAATGTCAGGCTTGGCATCGATGATATCCTGATCCTTTTTGCTGAGGACGGCGCGCGCAGCAGCATCGGCCGCGCGGGCGTCTTCACTGTCCAGGGCCTCAAGCATGTCATCCATGTTCTAAACACGACACGGTAAAATGAGCAAAGAAGCGAAATCTAAAGACTGATGAAAGCCCAAGTTTCGCCTGGGCGTGCAATGCCGATGCTGCAAGCGATGGCGGTCAGCAAGTCACCGACTTGGAGGAGGTCATAATAGACTGAGTTGCCAGTAAAGTAGGCCTGGGAATCAGGACGCGCTGTGGGGTCGCGCACTGGATGACGGCGGAGAGGCAGAGCGGGGTGAGCCGTGGATGACGCACGGTATCTACCCTTTTGAGCATGACTGGGACGTACGAGGGTGGTCATCGGGCAGGGACTCGAAGCGTGGCTTGCGCTATGTTGAGACAAGTAAGGCGGCGGGGTCAGACACAACAGGGAGCTTTGCGCAGCGGGATGCCTTGAGATGAAAATGCCAGGAATCACGTTGATATCCATACCGTCAGGGCCTGTGCCGTGTTGGGGACACGGGGATCGGGCATGAGGTAGCGCAGCTCACGGCGAAGTTTATCGTCTGAGAGCTGCTCGTATGCATCGACGGGTACACCGTTTTTGGCACCGTGGATGACACTGGTTAACAAAGCAAAAGTGGGCAAAGAAGCGACCGAGTGGAGTGGGGCAACACCACACGTGAGATTGGGGTGCTCTGGCGTGCTTCGAGGCAGGATGGCAGCGCTGAGAGAGAAAGAGAGAGGCAAACGCACATGTACAGTTCAGAAATGAGCTCGCGACGTTCTGCATCGGTCCGTGCCTGTGCCAACAAGCTGTCAATCTATCACCCAGGGCGGAGCGGGGCGGCAAGGGAAGAGCTGTGACATGAGAACACGTGCAGGGGGCGGGGCTGGATTTCTTCAGGCATGACCGGCCCTTTCGGAGACCGGTACGGCTGCGGGGCAAGACTCAAAGGATGTGCACACCTGCTTGCGATTCAAGTCGGGCTCGGCCGAGGCTTGTGAGCTTTGGCCAGCTGTCGAGGCGCAGCGGCACCTATGACCAGGTCGGACAAAAGAGGCAAGAAGGCGCAAGGTCAACCCATGAGAAGAAGAGAAGGCAAGAGCCCGCAGAGGCGCCCAACAACGTCTCCGTGTGCTCTTGCGTGCATTGTCACTCGGCAAAGAAGAACGAGCGCCCGCGCGCGATCCAGCACAGTGTGCTTCAAGAGCACAAGGGCCGCGCCAAGGAGAAGGGGTCGCCTGGAAAGCTCATCAGAGCAAGGCGCGACGAGCTGTTCTTACCCGCGGACAACATTCGTTGGGCGAAGAGCAAGAGCAGCCAAACCGCGCACCTGCACCTGCACCTGCATACCCACACCACCCTGTCGTACACCCGCCCCCAGCGTGGCCATCCGCGCGCCAGCCGCTGCCAGCGAGCCCCAGCTGCCCATCGCCCGCAGCGAAGTCGCCATCTCGTCGTTCGCGTGTGTGTGTGTGAGAGAGAGAGCGAGCGAGTGAGAAGCAAATGTGCGCCATGTTAACAACAGTTGTTCTAAACACTACAATCCTTTAGAACGCGAATGCAGTGAGTGAGTCTTGAGAGCTGTTTTTAAGTGCAGTTTTACCACCTGTGGTAAAGAGTGCGACAAGAGTCCCTTTTTCCAGGCAGCTCCAGCTGAATCCGAAGCGGGGGACTTGACGCCGTGCGCCCGTTCTTCCTCGCCCGCTCCTCGTGTACCATTTGCCAAGTAGCGCGCGCGTTTTGTGTGCATGTTTGATGATGATGATGATGTGGCAGAGATTTTCCTAATTTGTGGTGTAAAAGCGCCGGTCGTACTGATATGGGAGAACCTTTGTGCTTGGCGAGGAATCGATGGACGTGTTTAAGGTCGGACGATTCAACAGCTCAACACCCCATACAACCCTGGCTACAAGCCCTCACACACGATTCACAGGATCCACAGGACCACATGATCGACAACAACAACAACAACAACAACAGATTTTCGGCGTATTCAGGGGAAAAAAGATAAAAATCTCGAAAAAAGATGAAAAAATTCGTTGAAAGAGAGAGAGATTATAGGTAGGGAGAAAGAAAAGCACAAACAACAAACACGAAAAAGAGAGAGAGAGAGAGAGGTGAGAGAGGTGAGAGACGAGAGAGGCGAGAGAGGTGAGAGAGGTGAGAGAGGTGAGAGACGAGAGAGGCGAGAGAGGTGAGAGAGGTGAGAGACGAGAGAGGCGAGAGAGGCGAGGGAGGCGAGGGAGGAGGGAAGAGAGAGAGGCGAGAGGAGAGATCGGAGAGAGAAGGGAGAGAAGAGGAGAGAGAGGAGAGAGAGGAGAGAGAGGAGAGAGAGGAGAGAGAGGAGAGAGAGGAGAGAGAGGAGAGAGAGGAGACAGAACACACACAGACACACACACAGACACACACACACACACACACACACACACACACACACACACACACACACACACACAGACACACACACACACATCGACCTCCTCCATTTTTGAATTTTTCTTGTTGAGGGCATTGCTTTATCAACAAGATGCGGAGCAAGATGGCGGCGGTCGTGGCGGCGGCGGTGGCGGTAGTGGCGGTGGCGGCGGTGGGGTGTGGAGCCATGCCCATGACGACGGCGGGTGTGGTGTCTGAGGGACCGGCGGCGTGGCCTGTATATGCGGCCAAGCGCCATTTGTTTGAGAAGCACATGGTCGAGTTTCATCGTCAACAGCGAGAGGTGCAGTTGGAAGAGGCGGCGATGCCGTCCAGCAGCTTGCCGGCTCCCCGGTTCGTTACGCAGCGTCTGGATCACTTTGACGGATCAGATACCACGACCTGGCAGCAGGCCTACTATGTCAATTCGACCTATTTTCAGGCCGGCTCGGACGCCCCCGTCTACCTGTGCGTGGGCGGTGAGGGCCCACCCCTGGATGGCAGCGTGGTTGTGGCCTCGGTCCACTGCAACGTCGCCGTCGAGCTGCTGCCCAAGACTGGTGCCATCATGTTTGCCCTCGAGCACCGCTACTACGGTTGCCACAACATGTCTGCCTGCCCCGTTGAAAACCCCCTGGCCAAGGGCGCGCTTCGCTACCTCTCCTCGCGTCAAGCCCTCGGCGATCTGGCTGCTTTCATCTCCTACATCCGTCAGCAGTACAACCTTCCCAACAACAAAATCGTCACCTTTGGTGGCTCCTACCCCGGTACGTCTGCCTTGCTTCTCGGCTTTCTCGTCGCCTTTTCTTGGGTTCTCGCGTGTTGTTGTTGTTGTGGTTGTAGTAGTAGTAGTAGTAGTTGTAGTCGTCGTAGTAGTAGGAGTAGTTGTAGTTGTAGTTGTAGTCGTCGTCGTAGTAGTAGTAGTAGTAGTAGTTGTAGTCGTTGTAGTAGTAGTAGTAGTAGTTGTAGTCGTCGTCGTCGTAGTAGTAGTAGTAGTAGTAATAACTCGGCATCAGCCACGGCTACAGCCACCTGGCCAAGCCTATCCTCCAATCAGCTTGCCAACTCCTCCTCCCATTTCACTTGCCCTTGGCCTCCGCCCTTGTCGTATCTCCCTTCCTTCGGCTCTAGGTATGTTGGCCGGCTGGGCACGTCTAAAATACCCACACCTGGTACATGCCAGCGTGGCCTCTTCAGCCCCCGTCGAAGCCGTCCTTGACATGCGTGGCTACTACGACGTCACTGCATTTGCCTATTCGGTGAGCGATAACAACGTTGGTGGCAGCGACGCCTGTCGTGCTGCCATCGCCACAGGGCACGCCACCATTGGTCAGTACTTCAACTCCTCCTCGGGCCGAAACACCCTGGCCAACATCTTTGGCCTGCCTGCCAGCTACTTTGAAAAGTACGACAACCAGGCTTCTTTTGCCGGTGGTGGCGTGGCCTACTTCCCTTCCCAGAGCAATGACCCTAGCTGCACCCAAGCTGGTTGCAACATCAACCTCATTTGCCAGGTCATGACCAATACCTCCCTGGGTGATGAGGTTCATCGTCTTGCTGTGGTAAGGCTTGCTCTAGTCTTGGCCCGTGTCCAAGCACCAGTCCCCTTGCTCTCTCCTGGTCTTGGATACTGGCTAATCTTGATTTTTTTGTCAAAGAACATCACGCGCCTTGTCCAGCTCAAGTTGATGATTGTGATGCCCCTGGCCGCTCCTTGTTGGCACTAGGTCCGCAAGCAGCAGCTCGAGTGGCTGCCTGCTGCCTTTGAGAGCTTTGCCACCAAAACGCTTCGCGTCGGCGCCGAGGCCGACTATTGGGGCTACCAAACCTGCACCGAATTCGCCTTTTACCAAACTTGTGAGGTTGGATCCGACTGCTTCTTCACCCAAGGCTATCTGACCCTCAACGCCACCGAAGCCGCCTGCCAGGCTGAATTTGGCATCGACTTTACCACCGTGCAACAAAACGTGATCGCCAGCAACGCCTGGTATGGTGGGCGCAACTCGGCCGGGTCTTGCCTCATGTACCCCAACGGTGAAGTGGATCCTTGGAACTCGCAATCCATTCTGAACACGACCGCTCCAGGCATTACCACCCTGATGGTGCCAGGTGCCTCCCACCATGCTTGGACCCATCCCTCTGCGCCCTCCGACCAGCCCAGCGTTGTGGCTGCGCGCAAGACCATTGCCGATTTCGTCTCCAACGCCCTCAACCAAGCCTGTGGACAGGTCTAATTCAACGTGCCTCCCTGGCTCGGCGGCAAGTCAATCAATCAAATTGACTGGATAAATCAAACACCCCAAACGTTTCAAGAAACAAAAACAAAAAAAGAGCAATTGCAAATGATTCTGAATTATGCGCCCTGGGAGGGGGTGGGGAGAACAAGGCTCAACGCTCACGCGCACGCCTTGTTCTTTGTAGCACTACCCTCGACACACGCTTGCATTCTCAAGGCACAGACACCCGTCCACACACCCGTCCACACACACACACACTCTCTCTCACGCCAGGTCAAAGGCACGCAACAATTAGGCCAGGTTGAGTTGCACGCATGCCAGGAGCCAAACAATCTCCAAACTGAACACATCAAACTATGGAACTTGAAGCCTTTTCTTTTCCAAAGCGGTTTTCCTAAGCGTTTGCCTTTGAGGGCTTTGCAGTGGACTTGGGGTTCTTAGAACCCTTGGTCCCTCTCTTGGTGGCAGTCTTCTCGTTGGATTCTGATGCGGTCGAGCCATCGGGGATTGCTTGTGCCGGTGACTTGCCAGACGAGGGCACGGGGATATCCGGGTGGCCATCGGTGTTGGTTTGGTCACCATGTTGAGCGAGCAAGAGTGCCTCCTCTTCGTCCTCGGCCAAATCCTCGGTTTGGTCCTCATCGTCAAGGTCGCCGTCTTCACCGAGCGCGTCAGACGTGTCTTTGGACCCCTTATCCTGGTGTGTTTTCTGATGTTTGTTGCGGTTTGAACTGTTGGTAAACGTGGAGGGGCAGTAACGACATTTGTACGGCCGTTCTCCTGCGAGCAGATGCATCCACGAGCAAAAACGGGCAACGTGAGGTTGAAGCCGTCCAAACAGAGCCGCAGTGGGCCTGCCAAAGAACATGCTTTATCGCTGAAGTATGTTGGGCGAAATCAATGGCAGGCGCACCGGTATGCACGCGGAGGTGGCGCCGAAGGTTGCTCGACCACCCAAACAACTTGCTGCAGACATGGCAGACGTGAAACTTGCGCCCCTCTCGCCTAAAACCAGTGCAGCCAACCACGCGCAAAAGTGAGGGGCAGCAATGCATGAGCAGCCGTAAAAGGGGAAAGCAGAGTCGACGCCAGCCTAACATGGTCACAATCTTGATATGTGTGTTGTTCTCGCTCAAGTTGATGGGAGGGGCTGTCGGATTGTTGGCCACCTGTTGCTGGTGAATCGTGTTGAGCCAGTTCTGATTTGCTGCTTGCAACGCATTGATGGGATGGCCGGCCATCCCAGCGCCCGTTAGAGAGGCTAGAGAGGCACTAACGCCAGCCAGACCGCCGCCATTTGACGCATTGACCAGTTGGGCCAAACTTTGAAGCGTGGCTGCTTGCGAGACCTGCTGATTTCCAGAGCCAAAGGACACGGCGGCAGCAGCCGGATGAAGTCCGCCTGAACCAGCCTTGGCCTGCTGATCTGAGCCCAGGTGCATGTGAGCAGAAGGCTGTTGCTGTTGCTGTTGCTGAAGTTGTTGTTGGAATTGCGGGTGAGGCTGATGTACTTGTTGCTGTTGTTGTTGTTGTTGTTGCTGCTGCTGCTGCTGCTGCTGCTGCTGCTGCTGCTGCTGTTGTTGTTGTTGTTGCTGCTGCTGCTGCTGCTGTTGGGCGAACATGGCCATCATCGAATTGTTCTGGCCCATGGACATGTAGGGGGCCAATTGCATGATAAATTGGTTCATGTTGCTGGGGTTGTTGCTTGGCGCGGGTCCCGACGAAGCAGGCAGGCCTTGACTATTGCCGCCGCTCTGAGTGAAGTTCCAGAGCATGCGCTGCATGAGTGCAGGGTCCTGTGGAATTTGCTGATCGGAGCTTTGCGGGCTTGCATTGGCGGGCAGCATGGAGGAGCGTAAACCCTCCATGCCCGGCATGCCACCAGCCATCTGCTGAGCCAACATGGCTACGTGACAGAGTGAGTTGCTTTGGCAGATTGATCATGGAGTGGGGCATGCGGTGTCTTCGGGACAGAGGTGTGCAAAGGTCAAGCGAGCCCACTGACCTTGTGGGTTGCCGAGAAAGTGTGTGACTTGGTCAGCTGGGTTGCCAGCTTTGGGGGCCTTGGCGCGAGGCCCGCCATCGCCGGTGCCGGCACTGCCGCGTTTGCTCGTAGATTGGCTTGCAACCGAGGCAGATCCATTGCCCAGGCCAGCGTGGGAGCCATTGGGCTGGGGAAAGCTCAAGGCAGAACCTGGGCCAAATGGGTTGCCATTTGAGCTGGGGGCTGCACTGGAAGTGTACATTGTGTGCCCGACAAAGTCAGGGAGGGCGGAGCCATAGTTTTGCATCTGGCCGTTAACCAAGTCGTCTATCGCGATGGCAAAGGTTGTCATCAATATTCATGGGCGCGTGATGGGGGGAGGGCTAGACGAGTGAAAAAAAAAAAAAAAGCGGGGGGAGGGAAGCCAGCGGTGTAGAGTGTGGCAGGAGAAAAGAGGCGGGCATGATGCATGTCCTGGCTGATGCCCTAGACGGGGCAGCCGCAATGACTCACGATTGGCCGGGCTACCAGGTTTGGGAAGGGAAATGCTTTGACTTGGATCCATAATGCTGATGGAGCAAAGACGGAGCGGGTGGTCGTTGATGTGGGTGAGATGAGTACCGTCTTGGAATCAAGGGTGGCCGCAGTCAACGGGCGCGAGACGACCCGCACTAGCGAGACGAGACGAGAGTCTGTTGAGCACCTGCAGTCATGCATGTACCTGGGTCAAGGCGCGGAATTTGGGACTAACGGTCGCTTCTCTGCACCGATTGCGAGCGATTCACGATGGATCGTGCGCCAGTCGGTCGCGGAGGGTCGCAGCACGCAGAGCGTCAGAGGCGCAAGGGGCTGTGGTTTGGAGTGGGCAAGGGTCGAGAATGGCGTCAATGGTGCTGTCGTGGTGACTCAAAACACGACTGAAGTTGACTCTTGAGTGGTACTGCGCCACGGACACGAAGAAGGTGCACAGCGATGCAACGGTCGAACTGTGGAGATGCCAAGGCAGGCAACCGGGATGGCTGTCAAGCAAGGTACTGCTTAGTTTGCCAACCATCGGCAAGGAAGGGGGTTTTGTGCTGTTGGGCGGAGCGGAAACGCAGTCGTGGTCGCTGTAGGTTGAAGTGAATGAGCAGCGTTGGTTCAGGGGCAGGACGTCTTTGACGACACAGGGGCGCATCACGCGAAAGATAAAATCCACCACAAGCAATCATTCACCCGCAAGCGATTCCAAGAAGAGTGGCGGTGAAGGGTTCGGGTAAGACTCGATCTGGGGGATTGCACGTCATTGGGTGAGCTGTGCCAACACGCACAGCTCACAATACGACCGTGACCGCATGTGTGCAAGCGCGCATCGTGGTGGCGTCGCCGTTGACGCGGAGACGAGTCGTTCGCGGCCCCCACGTACCAACTGCATGCACGCACGCAAGCTGCGGGTGTTATCAAGTTGAATACGTGGGGGCCTAAAAGTCTGCTTGAAACAATACCGACTTTTCCATGCCAGGGCTTCGAGAACGAAAGCAGTCAGCATGACTTTTTGTAAGTAGCTGTTTATATCCAAGGGGTCTGTCTACCTTGTACTACCGCTATCAGCTTGAGGAGGTGCCGCCTATTGGGAGGGGGTTGCGTGCGCGTGTTTGACGCGGGCCGGTGAACACCGCGAGTACTCAGACGAACGTGACTTCATGTCTTTTCCAAAGTGGCAAAGGAGATGAAGCAGTCCATCATGTGCAACATCAGTTTGAGGCCCCCAAGCCATTCCCCTCTTCTAATCATGCAATTATTCCATGCCCGTATCGATTATCAAACTCTTATCATCCTGGTATCACTATAAAGCAACACCAGCAGAAACAGCACCAGTCACGGGCCCTAATGGGCCCATTCACTTGGTGCACATCCCGCTGCAGACACCAGAGAGCTGCCGCCACCTTACATCCACAGACAGCGACATTTTTTTTGTTGTTTCGTTGTGCCATCTCATGCAATCCAGCCGGTGCCAGTGGTGTCGTTCCTGCGTGACGCGATCTCAGCGCGAAGGATTCGATTTGCCAGAAGCAAGTCCTCCTTTTCCTGCCGCGCCAAACTCAGCTGCTGTTGCAAGGACCGGTTTTCCTGCGGCACCAGCGTGCGCAGCAGCGTCGGTCAGCTCGACTTGGTTGCCGCAGGCAGGCAAGAGGAACCTATGCAACCTTACCTCTTCGAACTTGGCCAGCTTGGCATGGGTGGAGAGGGAATTTGTTTTCCGACGCAGGGCTGAGGTTTTGGCTGCTGAGCGATTCTGAGTTCGGCGCCGGCGTTTGCGAAGCTCTGCTTGTTGCTCAGAAGTCTCATGTTCGAGCAGTCGGCGGAAATCCTGGAGTGATAACGATGCTATTTCTTCATCTGAGTATGTCATCAAGCTTTGGGCTGGTTCAAAGCTTTCCAGCGGTGGCTCGGGGCTGCACACTGAGCCTGCACTGGGCTCGGAATCATTGAAAATGTCGTCCAAGGATCCAAAGGCACACGACATGTCCAGCGACATCTGGCTCAAATCCTCTTGGGCACTTGGGCACAGCGCCAGAGCCTTGGAGGTGCCATCATGTACAGTCATCTCGTGGGGAGTCGTGAGAGGGCGGGCCTCGCGCATGGGCGTGGCGACGGCAGCGGCTGGCTGTTGACATGGCGGCGGCGGCGACGACATGTTGAAGTTGCGATGGCGATTCAGAGAGTCGGTTGATAGCATACCCACAGTCGTGTGGGCTTCCGAAGACACAGAGAGGGAGGGGGTGGTATTCTGGTGCATCGTGACCGTCTGGTAGGGCTTCAAGGGCTCAAAAAGACCAGGCGTGGCAAAGGCGGGCGGATCACAAAAGCTGCACGCATTCCACAGCTGAGCCTGTGTGTCCTGGCTAAACTCGGCCGGGTTCAAATCGGCGTCTTGCTGCTGTAGCGTTTGGATCAACTCGCAGAGACAGAGATCCGTGCTGTGTTGGCCGCCACAGCGCGAACACACAGACACGAGCGCCGCAAGGTCTGCCTCGATCGTGGAAGAGGATTCCCTCCAGTTGAATACAATGTCTGGAAGGGGCGACAGAGAATGGCGTGGGGGCTCGGCACTGGAGGTGCGAAGAAGACGTGTCAGATTGAGGGCGGCGCCTTGGCGGCCCGCCCAACGTTGGAGGTGGGGGGCGGCGATGTCAGAGGCGTGGAAAATTGATCCAGCTGCTTGTGGGCTTGGTGCACGGTGGTGGTGCAGGAGGAAATTGCCCGCACCATGATGCCAACCAACCAAGGGGAATTCAGAGCTGGAGGAGTGCACGCCGTCACACTATGTAGGGAAGGGAACGGGGTGAGTCGGTGCTCGTACTGCAGGCAGGCGTTCAAAGGGGGGGCGGAATGACGGAGTCGTGTGTGGGGGGTGGGGGGTTGTATGTCTACGGAGAGGATGCATGGGACGGCGTTGTCTGTATTCCCACTGGGCGTTGGGTAGGCGCGTCATGTAGTGACGCGCGTGTTTGGTGTGACAATGCAACGTGGTCCGGGGCACCCTCAAATATGGTACATCGTCTGCGCACTTCACCAACCCAGCGGGACACATGAGAGAGGGAGATCAAGAGAGAGGGAGAAAGAGAGATCAAGAGAGAGAGAGAGATCAAGAGAGAGAGAGAGATCAAGAGAGAGAGAGAGAGAGAGAGAGATCGAGAGAGATCGAGAGATAGATCACGAGAAATCACGAGAGAGACAGAGAGAGAAAGTGGATAATCGGACAACAGGCTCCAATTGGGCTTGAACGTGGGATTTGGCACGTTTGGTGTCAAAGAAGCTGTATTTCGCGACCAAACATGGACCCTCAATTTGAGTCCGAGAGGAGCGACCCCTTAACCCAACAAGTCGAGGGCCACAACATTACAAATGGGGTTTGAGCATCCTTTATGGGTATTTGGCAGAGCTTCCGCAACACACACACGAAAACGCACACACACACATTTGGAGAACCGCATCAGGCATCGGTGTCGTGTGTGTGAGTAACGTGGTGTTTGAAGTTTTGATGCGGCGATCTGAATACGGCATGCCATCAATCGATCGACCAAGCGCAAGTGGTTGTGTGTCAATGTTTATCAACGTTTCATGATCTCACCCGTTTAGCGGGCAACGTGAGCCAAGAAGGGGACACACTTCACCCCAGGGAACAGAATGAAGGAGGTTCGAAGATCAGCCGGCCCACCAGGATTAGCTTAGCTCGCTGCGAGACTCGAATCAGTCCAACAATCGTTCTGTCGTTTGATCACAGTCCACCAAAGAAAAAATGGCTCCTTCAACGTCCACTTCCAATCTTGGCGTTGTGTTGGCCAAAACAAGATCAAGGCTGCTTTTGGCCTGCTCGCAAGAAAAAAATGGGAACGATGGAAGGAAAAAAAAAGAGGGGGGGGCGGTTCACACGTCGGTTGTTTCTCCCAAGTTCGTCGTCATGACCAAGCTTGATTCATGCTGCTGGGTGCGTCGAACAATGGCTTCAGCGTTTGAGGATCGGTTTGCACCCTTGTTTATGACCTTTTGGGTGCACGACGACGAACGTTGGCGGGCTTGATTCCTCCTTTGCTACCGAGCTCGCTCCTCTAAATCAACCTTTTTCGAACAGTCCCTTTGATTGTCCGTGCAGATATCTTTGTCGAGCATTCAATTGCGGGTGTGCACGTTGAACCTCTAACAAACCACTTGCATTCGCATTCATCTAACTTCCAGGAAAGTCCAGGTGCAGGATTGCCTGGAAAAGGCGAGCAGCTAGCCGACACAAAGTCTAAAACCTGAGACGAATCAAGTCAGTGTAGTGAAACTTGACATGTATGTGAGAACCAAAAAAGAAACATCAACGCATCCAAAGACGCAAAACGAAAAAGAAGCCTCTGGACTCGGCCACGATATTGACCGAAATCGACAAGAGACACAGGAAAAAGCAAACGTTTGTTTGACATGGCGAAAACAAAACACGACTGTATTCGGACGTAACAATAAAACGCGTCGTGAACGACCTCAGGCAGCATATAAAATCAAACAGGCCAAAGGTTTTGGTACTACAAAGAGGCAGCAAGAAGCCTGAGGGCGAGGTCAACTTATTCATCAACCTCATCGTCAAAAGCAGCGTCCTCCTGTTCGAAGCCATCGGCTTCGAGATACTCATCGGCGTTACCGCTTTGATCAAGGTCATTGGCCTCAAAGTAGGAGTCGTCAAATCCATTCTGATCAAAACCCTCATTCGGGTCAAAGGCATCAAATCCAAATCCCGGCTGCTCGACGCCCTCAAGGTCCTGCGCGTCCGCCCCCACATCCAAATAGCCGCTCTCATCTTCAATCTCGTCATCTTCTGCCATATCTGGCTCATTGAACATGTCCGAGTACATGCCGTCGGCCTGCAAATCCTCATCATTGGCTTGCTCCCAAGCTTCTTGATGCACGTCCTGATAGTCGCCGTCCCCACCAGCGTCAGCATCATCGTAGGTAGTTCCCTGGTCCTCATCTATCCCGCCATCTATCAGATCCCAGGCCAAGCCAAAACAAGAGCATGAGCATTCTGAGGAGGCGCACAAGCGCGACAAATTTCACGTGCAACAGAAAGCTCGAGTCTCCTTTTGACTTACAGAGAGGGTTGACAACGCCGGTTCGGAAAGAACTCAAGTTCTACGAACCCCAAACAATGCCAAGTGAGACTCAAAGGTTGCTAGATCGGTTCTCGAACAAATTTCTTTCACTCAACGGCTATACATCAGGGTCATGGCATGACTCACCTTATCGGTGTTTTGCGCATCGAATTGTGGCTCAGTGGGCTTGCGTTGCCGGCGTCGGGCCACGACGACTGCGACGACCAGCACCAAGAGACCGACGATGCCACCAATCGCACCAATGTAGATGGATGACGAAGCAGAGGAAGAGCTGGAGGAAGAGTGTGTGGGGTCCGATGTGCTCGTAGGCTGTGGCTTGGCTGGCCCGCGCGTTGTTGTGGTTGCAGGTGGTACCCACCCGCTGCGAAGCAAGGTGGCAGGCTGGGCCTGAAAGAAGACATAACCTTCAAGAGTGACAGCCACGGTTGTGCGATTCAACTCAAAGCTCAGAATATCAACGGCATCACCAGCTGTCAGATCGACGTCCTTGGTACCTATAAGGGGCGTCACATCAGCAATTTTTGGAATGAGTTTGCGTACAGGGCCGTGAAAGCCAGCAGGAAGGGAAGCAAGATCAGGATGACGAAAAACCAAAGAAACACAAAATAAAGCGCTACTGCTCAAGCACAGGCGCACAACATCTGCTCGGCTGTTTCATGCGCGCGTGTTGCAGTCAAGGCAGGGGCGGACACTGAGATTTGCACAGCTGTACCTGGATTGCCCAAATCAAAGAGAGCCGTGTTGGTCAAGAGAATTTGCATCACCTCTGCATCTTCCATTAGAGGTCGCGTAGAGAAGAGCACGGCATCAGGGCTATCATCTGACAGGACGACATCCACGATTGTTTCGATATTCAGCGCCAGAATGCTGGCCCTCAAAGCCGTGAAGGAAGAGTCGCCCTCCAAAAAGGCACCCTGCGTTGTATACAGCTGGCTGTACGTGGCATTGGGGTTGCTGACAAAGCCGGCCGTGACAGTGTACACAGCATTGCGCTGACCATTGACCACTGTCTCAGTCAATTCGGCTTGAACCTGCACACTCAAGCTTGGGGCTCCGTCTTGACCAAGGGTTTCATCTAGCCAAACACGAGCATCAGCACATGCACAGGACAAGTCCAGCCCAGAGGTCCAGCCCATGGCAGACACACAATCTTCCCAAACCTGCTCCCAAGTTTTGACACGCGAGATGGCCATTGGGAACTTACAAATCCAGTCCTCTACCGCATCTTGTAGTGAGCCCACCATGCTTGTGTCGTTGGCAACCATGATAGACGCAACGCCCGGATAGGTGGACAGCAGAGTTGTCACAGTATCTGGATACCAATGGGCTGCCGTCCGAAGCGTGCAGCTCCAAAGGGCGGCAGAAAAGCCCTCACAAGCAAACTCTGTTTTGGACGTCGCATTGAGGTCGTCGAGGATCGCGGAAATATACTCTTCAGCCGTCATCGGTACACCATCTACATCGGCCGAGCTGTTTGAATCCCTGCGGCCGGCAATAACAAAGGGCGATGATCAATCATGTAGAAAGAAGCTATTTGTCCAGTTCAACCCTTCACAAACGACCGGCTGATAAGCAAAGCTTGACTTACACATCGCGACGCCGCAGGGGGCTGGCAGAGGAGGAGGCCGAGTCACTTTCAGAGGTGACAGTGGCGCTTGTGGAGCGAGTCGTCGATGTCGTTGGTAGACGATCCAGGTCAAGGTCCCATTGCCAAGCAAACGGAAACTCATCTTCCTGGATGGGAGCTTGCCGCACTGCCCATGGGTCTGACACGAACAGCACACCTGCTTGGGCCTGCAGGGTGGCAAGCATAGCCGAATGCAGAACGCCGGGTACTCGGACAACGACGTCCAGCGTCCCTGTCGCATTGTTATGCGTGCTGTTGACGATAGAATAACCTGCCAAGCCACAGCCGTGGAGCAGTTCCATCACGGTTGGGGCCTCCGAGGTATTGAGCGTAAAACGCAGGCCACTGGCAAACACGACATTGCTAGCCACGTCCGCGTTTTCGCTCAATTCCAAGTTTCGTTCCTGCAAAAGGCTGATCAAGGCATCCTGCTCGGGTACGCCCAGGACCATGGCCTCAAAGGTCGATGCAGCATCCGTGGCGTGCACGAATAGCGGGAACAGGCCCAATGCCAAGAGATCTTGCTCAACATTGTCGGCATCTTTCCACGAAGAAAGGGCACGGAGCTGTAAGACGGCGCGAGGAAAAGCGGCTTCTTGCGCGGCAGCCTGGACGACTTGCGAACGCTCAACATGATAGCGGCAGCTCGTGCTTTCACACGCAATGAGCGCGGCATCAATGGCACCAATTCGCATAAAGTAGTCTTGCTGCACGGCCAGTGTCGAGCCGGCGACGGCAATTTCATACGCGAGAACATCGACGCCAAAAGGTGCAATGGCCACCAAGCCTTCAAGTGTGAGCAGAGCCTCCAGATGTCGCTGTGCAGCCTCCACCATGTCCAAGCGGCAGAGCACAAACGATGCCTGATGAGCCCAGCAAAGCGGCTCGCGATAAACGGCCAGCCGACGTTCATAGGCCTGTGTCAGTAGCTGGCGAGCGCTGGATGCTTCATCGCCGTTTGCTTGAAGGATGACATACAGCGAGACGGCAACAGCCCTGGCCGGCACTGCCAGCGTGGCCAGTCGTGTGTCAAAGGTCAACGTTACACGCGAGCTCTCCGAGACATTGGCCTCGGTCTCAGCGTCGACAACAATGACCCGTTCGCCCGGAGCAACGGCCATGTTGCCCGAGCTATCCGACGCAGCGTAGGACAGCACGTACATGCCACTTGCTGACGCGCTAAGTTCCTCCACGGGTGGGACAAATGAAAAGTTTGTGATAGATCCTTCCAGCCAGTCCTCGGCTGTGACGTCGGCCGAAGGATAAAACTTTGCGCCGCGACGGATGCGGCGGGTTATAATGTGTTGCACACGCACCACCGGGCTCAGGGTGTCCTGCACGGTCACGAGTCGCACGATACTGCCTGTGTTTTGGCAGTCATCGGCCACTGCGTACTCGATCGCCTGCTCTCCTAGAGTGGAGATGTTAACATTGTGCTGACGTTGCACGATGCTAATGTTGATGGCGCCCTGGCATGTATCAAACGCCGCTTCCACTCCCGGATCAAGCCACGCAAAACCAGCTTCCGAGGTGGTGGCATTTGATCCGCGTAGGATGATGGTGGGCGGTACCGTGTCTTGCACGCTCAAAGTACCCAAGGCGCTGGCTTGCCAGCCACAGGTGTCCGTAAAGCTGAAATTGGCCGTCACAACCTTGGTATTGGCGCACATGGTTTGCTGACTGGAGGTATAGTTGCGTGAGAGCGTATCACTGCATCCGTCGACAGCCAGAGCGTTACCAGATTGGAGCAGCCAGGCTTCAATTTGTGCATCCTGGCTAGCCAAGTCACACTCGATGGTGTGCGCGGGGGGCATGGCCGTAATGATGGGCGCTTGCGTGTCGACCACATTCACTGTGGCAAAAGCATGGGCGGCATTCCCGCAGTCATCAGTCACGGTAAAGCGCACGACCATGCTGTTCATCCCTTCACATGCGTGGAATGTAGTCATTGGATCTGTCAGGTTGTGGCTCCAAGTGACGTCCGAGCACGTGTCCTCGGCTATCCCGTAGCCGGCTGCGTCGAGCCACTGCTGCAGCTGGCCAGCAGAGCTTTCGCGATCACACTCCAATTGGAGATCCTGGGGCGGGCTCTGCACTTGAGGAGGGGTGGTATCCTGGATGGCAACGGTTTGATACATGGTGCCAGCGTTTGAGCAGCTGTCCACCGCGGTCCACGCCCGCACGTAGCGCACGAGGCCCATGCAGTGTCCATCATGTCGCGTCTCCTCGTAGGCAACGTCATATTCTGAACCCGAGCACACATCCCGTGCCATCACCATATACGGATCAGGGCGCGTGGGCTCAAGGCCAGCCCGACCGATGCATTCCAGAGTCATGTTGGGCGGTGGGCCGACCAAGTACACTGGCTCATCGCCAGCCGGTGCTGAGGTGGCGGCCGGCCCAGTCGTGGTCGACGCGCTCGAGCTCGTATTTGACGTGCTTGCGCCCGTGATCGAGGCAGGGGCTGCAGTCGACACAGGCGCAACGGTGGTGTTGGCCCAGTACAGCACGGGGGGTTGGGTGTCGAGAGCAGCAAAAGACGCGGTGTGCGTCCGAACATTGCCACACTCATCCTGCACGCTAAATTGAACTGAGGTTGCCAGCGTCTGACCACAGCCTTGGGACCAGGTGGCGTTGGCGCCGTTTGATTGCCAGGTCACGTTGCTTGAGCAGGCATCCTGGGCCGTGCCATTGCCAAAGGATTCCAACCACCACGTCACGTTGGCGGTATTGCCTGCACCATCGCACTCAAACACAACGTCGGCCGGTGGGGCAACCCACTGTGGTGCTGTGGTATCAACCACGGTCAAGAATTGCGTAAAGTTGTCTTGCCACCCAGCATTGTCCGTGGCCCAGATCGTGCGGGCCAGGGTGTAGCTTTGAGGGCATTGGCCCTGGGTGATGTTGTCCCCAAAAACCACTTGCACATTGGTATCACAGGCATCACGGACGACAACGTCTTCTGTCTGCGGGACTGCATCGCACTCATAGGCCATGGCCACGGAGAGATTGGAGAGCACCGGCGGTTGGGTATCCACAATACTGATCGGGGCCGCCACAGGCAACACATTGGCGCAGTCATCATGTGCGTAAAGCTGGGCTGAGTAGTTGCCGGTCAGGGTCGAAGACAGGTTGAGAGCATCAAAGGACCAGGTGATGGCATTACCACCACACGCATCGGCTGCTGAAATGTTGACATGCGCTTCCAAAAGGGCTGTGACGTCATCTCGAGTTGAGTCAGCGTTGCACTCAAGGACCGTGGTGGGTACGCCGCTGGGCAGCGTGGGGGCCGTCTCGTCGACAACGTTCACGGTATGTGTGAGGTTCAGCTTGTTGCCGCAGACATCCGAGGCCGTCCAGGTGCGAAACACCGTGTATGCGTGACCACAGGTTGCGCTGGGCTCGGTCCAAGTCTGAGCAAGCACCACGGTTGCATTCCCTGTGCAAATGTCGGTGACAGCGACGGTAAAATTGGTGGGCTCGGCTGCGCTGCACGAAACGGTAACGTTATCGGGGAATTCAACAAACACGGGCGGTGTTGTGTCGCGGCGCACAATTGTGGCATTGGCCTGGTCCATGTTACCGCAGTCATCGACCGCCTGAAATGTGACTGTTGCGTTCCCAACAACACCCGCGCAGCCAGCCACAAGACCGTGGGCAACCTCGGCAAAATTGTGCGTGACGGTTACGGGCCCAGTGCACGCGTCCCGGATGGTGGCCCCACCATTGTTATCAAGCCAGGCCTGAATGGCCGCGTCCTGCGGCGTGCCGTCACATTCGAGATACAGATTCTGTGGCGGGACCTCAAATGTGGGTGCTGTCGTATCAATGGCCGTATAGTTGCGGGTGACGGACACCGCATTTTGGCATCCATCCACAGCCGTCCACGTTCGCTGCAGTGTGTAGTTGTTTGCGCAGGCCCCGGCGATAGTTTCATCGCGGCTCGTGATGTTGACAAAGGCCGCACATGTGTCGGTGGCGGAAATACCGCTGCTGGCCGATGGCAATTCGTGGCATTGATATGTGAGGCCTCCATCGGGTACTGCCGTGAACACTGGCGGCACCGTATCTGACGTTCGAAGGTTGGCCAGCGAAAAGTCAGAGCCTCCCTTGGCAAAGGTAACATCCACCCGGAAGAGATGGGCGCTGCACCCTGGGTCAGGGCCAGTTACATTGAGGGCTGTCGTGGTAAAAGTCGGAGCTCCACAGTTGGTGTGCGTGTCAGCCACCGCACCGAGGTTGTTTGCGCGCCACACCGCCAAATCGACGGCGTAATCAGCACAATCAACTGTGAGATCGGAAGGTGGAGTGTTGATGGAGCAAACTGAGCAGGGTTCGCCCTCTGTATGGCAGTAATAGCCAGGCGTGATTGTGCAGTTGTCTGCACAGCCGTCGTTCCCGTTGTTGGCGCCATCGTCGCACTCTTCCCCAAACACTCGAATACCGTCGCCACACACGGGACTGCAGCTGGCGGCTTCGGCGGACCACGATCCATCAATCTGACAGGTGCGCACCCCATTGTCATCGTTGGCGAGCGCAAACCCAGTCTCGCAACTGAAAGTGCCAGTCGAGGGATAGCGATTGTTGTTTGTGGAAATGAACGATCCGTAGGCAATACTGGGGACCATGGCACAAGGAACACCATCACATGTCTCAGCGTTGGTGCCAGAGGTCATGTATCCTGGCGCACAAGCAGTGCAGGGTGCATTGTCAACTGTGCTCTTTGAGGTGTTTACAGGGCAAGCTTGACATGAGCCAGCCACACCACCAAAGCCAGCATTACAGGCGCACGTGACACGTGCCGTGAGGCCGTCAGTTGAGCTAAACGCTGGGCAGGACTCGCACTGAGGGCCTGAGGTGGAGGTATTGCGGAACATGTTGACGGCGCATGGTTTGCAGGTGGGTGCGCTGTCACTCCAACTCCCGTCTGATCGACACTCCAAAGAGCTTACTCCAGCCAATTCATAGCCATCAAAACAAGCGAAGGTGACCGTGCTAGGAAACCAATTGTGAGTGCTGCTCACGGCACCATACGGCGGTGCCGTGAGAGTTTCACATGGCACACCAGTACAGGCTGGCACAGACCCGCTCCATGTGCCATCTGTCTGGCAGGTGCGCGTGCCATCCGCTGTCAGCGTGTAACCGGCTTGGCAATTGTAGTTTGCAGTGGCGGGAAAGTTGCCGTTGTTTGACACGTCCAATTCACCATTTGCTGGTGCCACGAGAGGGTCACACGGAATTGCGGTGCAGGTTGGTGCCTCATTATTCCACATCATGGCGGAGCCAGACCAAATGCATGTGGCCTCGGTATTGCCCGAAAGAGTGTAGCCGGCATCACATGCGTAAGTGAGGGTCGCACCCACGATCGGGTTGCTGCTCGAGCTAGTCGCCGACCCATGAGCAAACACGGGCAGGGATGGGCAAGGTAAGGCCACGCACATGGGCGCGGAGCCGGACCATTCGCCGCTGGCTTGGCAGGTGCGGCTCGCCGGGCCGCTTCGGGTATAACCCTCATCGCAAGAAAACGTGGCCACGCTCTCAAAATCAACGCCACCGCTCGTGTCCACAAAGCCATTGCTGAGCGCGGGCAGGTCCCCACAAGAGACACGGGTGCAAATGATTTCTGCTCCTGCCCAGGTCAGCGCCGGTGTGCACGAGCGACTTGCATCCCCACCGGTCTGCTCGAATCCCGCAACACAGCTGGAACAGGATCAAGATCAACAAAGGAGGAACGACATGAGGCTACTCGCGAGGCAAGCCTGACTGACAACACGCCTCTCAACGAGCCGGCAGGTGCACTTACGCAAACGTTGCGATAACGGGATAGCGTCGCTCTGAATTGCTGTACGTGAGCACAGCGCTGCTGACTGCGGGCAAAGCGGGGCAGACTAGACCCACGCAGGTGCCCTCTGCAGAGCCCCCACAGCCAGTGCGGGTGTAGCCACTCGGGCAGCCAGGGCATGGGTAGCACGACGTAGCGTATGTCTGCGATTGTGGTGGGACAGAAGCAGAAGAGGACAAGTGGAGAAAGCACATACGCACAAAAGAGGCATTCAAGGTGTGAGAAGGCGGATTCTTGATCTATGCGGGGCTTGGAAAGAGGCGGATGCAGTCCGACCTGCTGGCTTTGGTAGAATCCGCTCGCGCAGGCAACGCAGGTTCCTGCGCTTCCACCACCGCAACCGTCACGATAATAGCCCGGACTGCAGGAAGCGCAGGATGGGCAGGTGCGTTCTTGGTGTGCAGTTTGGCTCTGATAGGTGCCTGAGTTGCACACTTGACAAATGCCCGGGCCAGTGGCACCAGCACAATTGGCAAGATACTGGCCTTTGCCACACGTTCTGCAGTTTGTGCAGCTGGCCAGGCGGTGCGAGGAAGAGGCTTGATAGGTGTTGGCTGGGCAGGAGGAGCAGGCACCAGCAGATGGACCAGCACAACCCGATTGATACTGGCCAGTGCCGCAGACCTTGCCCGTGGCGGCGCAAGAAGAGCAAGACGTCAGGATGTGACTGTTTGTAGTTTGAAAAGTTCCACTGCCACATGCGGCACACGAGCCGCCACTTCTTGTGGTGGCTCCAGACTTGAAGGTGCCGGCCGGACAGGTGGGCCACGGCGTGCATGAGGTAGTGCGGTGGGCAGAGGTGGCAATGTAGGTACCGTAATTGCAAGTGGTGCACGAGCCGGCCGAGAAGATGCTACCCGAAAAATAAGAGCCTGCTCCGCATGTGTTTTGAGCCAAACAGCTGGTGCTGCGGTGGGCGTCGGAAGACTGATATGTGCCGCCTCCACATGCCTACAGAGACCAGATGATGTAAGCGCGCAAGGGTGAAGGCTGTCACCTGTGCTAGTATTGTTCACTCTTTCTAAGCAACACAAACCGTGCATGCAAGTCCTGAGTTGGCGTTGCACGTGTAGAATTGACCGGCATTGCAAGTAGAGCACCGTGTGCAGGCCGTCTTGTATACACTGTTTTGAGACTGATAGTAGTTGGTTGCGCATGCCGTGCAACTTCCAGCGGCAGCGCCTGCACAACCAGTGGTGTAGCGACCCTTGTTGCACTTGGTGCCGCTACTGGAACATGACAGGCATGATGTGGCGCCCGTGGACGGTTGAAAGGTACCCTGGAAGAAAACCAACCGCAAACCCCGGTAAGCAAGGTGTTGACAACAACGGGTGGTTAGAAAATGATCACACTCCCGAGCATTGGAAGGGAATGCTTTTGTTCCACGACTACCCACCGAGGGGCAGGTTGGACACGGGCTTGTGCGCGACGTGCTACCACTGTATGTGCCTGCTGCACAGTTCTTGCAAGAACGTGACAAGTGACTTGTCTGATCTTGATATTTTCCAGCTGTGCAATCTGGTGAGCCATTTGGGTTCAAGCCCAGAAGATAAGAGAGATATACGGTGCATTGAGTCGTGATAATGAAATGCAAAGGGCAAGCGTAATTTCGCGAGCGCCTACCTCGGCACCCGCTGGTGGCAATGTTGAGACTGTTACCCCCCTGAAAGTAGTGGCCAGCGCGGCAATTGCAGGAGTTGCATCGCGTCTTGCCCGAGTTCTATTCGTAACATGGTGACCGGTCGGTGGTGAGGGCAGTCGTTTCTCTTTCACGTGCTGTGCAAGCCGGCAGCTTGGACACATAGAACATACACAGCCTCCCCTGCAGGTGGCGCAGTTGGTGGAGCATGCGTCATCGCAGCTACTGTCACAGCCACTGTCACAGCTGCACACCCGCGCAGAGTTTTCAAAGTTAGTCGCCCGATCGTCAAGCTCGAGTCACTGTTCAGAAGTTCAAATAACCCACCTGCTATCGCAGCCACTCTGAATGGATGAAAGAAAAGAAGGAGAAGTGTGTGCGTGTTGGAGGGAGGGGAGAAGGCAGAGAATCAAAACGTGTTATCATAGCAAAGGTCGCAAACACCATTTCAGCGGGGTTAGCAAGCCTGTATCGTGTCTTAGCGTACCCAACAGCTGCTATCGCAGCTATTATCGCAGCTGCTATCGCAGCCGCTGTCGCAGGCCTGAATGAGCGACAGTGCAAGGAAACGGTGATGAGATGACGCTTTTTTATTATTTTCCCTGCAACTTGGCCTGACAAAAGACATACATAGCTGTTGCAGCTACTGGCGCAAGCGTTGCTGCAGTGGAGGCATTTTTAAGTTGATGTGAGGAGGCCGTCCGACTGGCAAAGCAAAATCAAAAGCGCGAAACGTACGTGCACTCGTAATAGACACAACCATTGCAAGAGCCGCCACGAGAATTGCCGGGTGCCGTCCAGGGAGCCGAGCGGCGGTGACGTTCGACAATCTACGGAGGGGTTAATTGTGAGTATGCAGATGAAAAGCCGCCGAGACGAACACAAGCATGGGAGGGAGCGTACATCGTAATGGGTTACTGGGTTGGTGAGAAGGCCCTCAAAAGTCACTTCGCGTTCCCGTGAATCCCAACCCAAAGAGGCGGTACAGCTAGCCAAGCGCTGGAGGGTAGCCAAGACATCCTTGGAGGTCACGTAGGTGAAATCAAGTTGTGGGTCCTGGGCCACGAGCGTACGCAGAGAGTCCTTTTCGAAACCAAGAAGACGCTTTTGGGCCATCTGACACGGCTCGTCCGTAGGAAACGTGGCCAGCTCAAGCCAGCGAAGGCCAGAGGGTGAAGTTTCAAGCGAGGCAAGGGTACTCTCGATAACGGTACAAGCCTGGTTGTCAAGAACCGCACATGCACGGCGGACGAGATCAATCCAAGATTGGCCCTGTCGCTCCAGGGACAAGGTGATATGCGCGGTAGTTGTGTTGGGCGATGTTGTGGCAAAGTGGATGGTGGACTTTGGCAGGTAGAGTACATCGCCTGGACTGAGGGTAAAATGCTCGCAGCGCATCTTGTCCGTCTCTGCAATGTCAAAATTTGTGCAGCCTAACACACACATGGAGAATGGTGGGGTAGAGGTCAGCTGCGATTTTCAAGGACGTGATGCGAAAGAACACACGATGCAAGCATTGGCCTGACCGTCGACACTCTTGCGCTGCATCTCAAAGAGCTGGGCCAGCTGAGCTTGGGACGCATCGGCCCACTCGGTGCTGGAATCCAACGGATGACAGACGGTCCAATGCTTCTGGCCATGCAGGTGCAGGACCAATACGTCGTAACTATCAACACGTTTGAGAGTCCAGGGTTAATTGCGGGTCAAGGTGATTCATTCAAGCGCGTTCAAGGTGCCCGGATGACATACGGATCGGTGTGAGGGTTGAGAGCATGGGCCTCGCTGCCCGAGAGATACACATGCGAGGTGACGGTCGAGGTGCCAAAAGCCGTCTGAATCAGCTCTTCGAGGCTTGTTTGGGTGTACCCGGGAAAATACTCTTCACGGATCACCACCGAATAGCTGTGCTGGACGAGGTAGTCGTAGAGGTATTCCAAGGACACGCGCTCCAAAAGCGTATCAAGTGGTACATCGGCAGCGTGACGGTCACGAAAGGCGATCGCATCTTGGCTGCGTCCGTAAAGGTTGACCAGTGTGGCCAGCGTTCGGTTGAGATCGGCCCCGGCCTTGAACGAATCTAAGAGCGGATCGCGAGCAAGCCAGTTGGCCGCGGGCGCGAGCGGAGCAGGGAAGATGGCGTGCCGCTGTCCGTAAATCTCGCGCACAAAGTGGGTGCTGTTTGATCCCAGCAGTGTGGCCATGGCGTCATCGGTCACGGGTAAGCCTTGGGCGGTGGGAGCCAGTAGAGTGACAAAGGCAGCCAGCAGCAACATTGATGTTTTGGTTGACCACGACGATGACGGGCGCCGGCAAAGCCGACGCACCGGGTGTAACCCCCGCATCAGGCCGAATCCAAAAGGCAATGTGATGATCCCCCAAGAGAGAGAGGAGAGAGGAGAGAGGGGAGAGGAGAGAAGAGAGGGGAGAGGGGAGCCGCCGCCACGGGAGGGAGCCGCTTTGAAGGAGGGGAAAAAAATAAAAATACCGCCGATCTCGATCTCGGGCTCGAGCACTGCGTGATGTGGAAGTGTCCACCGTGGTGGGGGGTGCAAGCCGGGCGAAGGGGGCGGGATAGGGGGTTTCTTTTGTTCAAGACAGGCAACCAGAGGGCGTTTTTGGGTGGCAGAGGGCGTTTTGGGTGGCAGAGGGCGTTGGAGGGGGGCGTTGGAGGGGGCAGGGAGGGGGTGTAAGGAGTACAAAGGATGGCTGGGGAACACCGTGATACGCGGTCGCCTGTCAGGAATCAAAACAAAACCAACCTCGTCGTACAATCCTTTGACGGTCTAGATAGGTTAGGAGAGTTGCGAATGCAAAAACGACCCCTGTTTCGTGGGCCACGAGCGTAAGCAGCGAATTCACACACTGTCAGAACAGTTGTGTCGGTGTGAACCCATGAAACATGTGATGTTTTGTGGGTCAGAACACATACTTGCAGAATGGAGTACCAATCTTGTCCACTGATTTGGGGTGCTTAAAGTCGTAGCAGACGCAGTTCGATGCCTTGAATGCCTACTTGGCTTGTGCCTTGGTGCCGCCAGTTTATGACGCGGCCAGTTGTTGGTGCTGCTTCCATAGCTTCGGGGCAACGGCTCGGCTTCCATCCTGCTTCCGATCCCAGAACATGCCGTAGCCTCGAGCAAGGGCCCTGCAAGGGCCCTGCTTTCCATGTTGGCTCGGCTTTCGATCCCAGAACTGTTGGCTCTGTTTTCGGTCCATAATGATAACGCGTTGGCTCTGCTTCCACACGTGCCAGAGCAGCAATGGCACGGCTTTTCCACGTTGATTTTGCTCGAGTCCTAAGTAGGCCATAACATGAGCCGAGTGCGATGGCTCTGCTTCCCATCGCCGTTCCCCGGACGCGACGATGACTTGGGCTCTTGCGTTGAGCTGGTCGGCTGGTGTTGATACGAGAACGATCGGACCCGGGTCAAGCCTGGGCCACTGCATGAGCCCGCTTGCTTGTTTTTTTTTGGTGCTCTTCAATTGAATGTTTGGGGGCAGCGCGCATGAGCAACATGTGCGTGGCACGCAATCAAATGCGAAAAAACGTTGGTCCTTTCACAGAAGGGCGCTAAGACGCGCGACTCATACCACATAGAGCAGTCCGCCAAAAAAATATGATCCCGTCAAGCTTGCGCGGTTTACAAGGACGTGCCTCGGTGTGTGTGTGTGTGTGTGTGTGTGTGTGTGTGTGTGTGTGTGTGTGTGTGTGTGTGTGTGTGTGTTTCGGATCGTGGAAAAACATTCAACTTTCAAGGCGATGACAGTGCTGCTAACGAGAATTAGCATCATGACAGGTCGGCCGGCGCCGTACCGGGCGGGAGAGGGGGTGCATATGTGCCGCCAAAATACACGAGGTGAAGAGCAATAAAAAAAAAAAAAAAGGAAACTGGCGTTAGATCTGAGTCATTTCAACAGAAATCATGTCAATTTGTTTTTGGTTCTCAAAATCTCGAAAAACGCACAGACACAGACAAACATCAAGAATCACATGTCAGTCACATTAGAGCCAAGCTTTCAATCACGTTCATGGCGCCGTTCAGGCACTCGCCTCAGCGGCTCCGGCACCTGTCATGTCGCGAAGGCTATTGCCCAGGGTGGCGCGTTGCTCTGGCGACAGGCGGTCCATAAGCATGGTAATGGCCTGCAGTGCCACATCGCCCGTGGCCGAGGCTGCGGCTTCCTGGATGCGGCTCAAAGTACCTTCCACCTGGAGAGCCTTGAGGTTGCGTGCAATGGCCGACGAGCCCAAAAAGTGACCGGCCTCATCGATGTGCTCATCCAGCCACTTGGCCACCGCCTCGTCTTCCTCCCACAAATGCGCCTTGTCCGCGCCCATGGCGTCAAAGAACCAGCGACGCACCATAAAGGCACTCTGCTCGCGTGTCATGGATGAATTGCGCTGCAAAATCGCCTTGATCACCCGCTCCTCGCCCAAACGACGGCGCATGCGCCAGAAAAAGTACCGACGCGCCTGTGCCCAAGTCACCACATCCCGGATGCAGTCCTTGTGCTTCATGCGACTGGCACGATCATGCAAATCCGCAAAGCTCACCGCCACCTGGTGGTACATGCTCTCCAACAAGTCATAGCGCTCCTGCAATTGACGCTGCAACGAACGCGCCTCAGGGCTCTCCGGGTCTTCCTGCGCCGTCAGCGCGTCCTGCAACGCCCGGTACTTCTCATCCAGGCGGTACATCGTGTCTGCCTTGGCCTGCTTCCGGAACTTGATGGCCACCAAGCCCTCGGGCTCCAAAACGCCACCCCGGCTGTCTGGGTCCGCATACATCTCCATCATATCCGCGTTGATAGTTGGGTCCACCACCACCCACGCACCACCGCGCAGCTCGCAGTTCGGGGGCAGATACACAAACACCGGCTGTCGGAAGGTGCGCAAGTTGTCCACAATCATGGCGCCAAATTTCAGCACCTGATCGTACATGTCGCGCATGCCTCCAGAAAACCCACGCCAATTGGCGAAAACAAACAGCGGCAGCTCCTCACCGTTGATATCGCGAATGGCCTGCGCCGTCTTGAAGGCCGAGTCGGGATACCACACCTGGCCAGCCTGGTTCAGCGTGCTTGCCACCGAATCGGGGTTGGCCGGGTCAGCCGGCAACTGCACCTCGACGGCGCGCGTCTCAACTGCAATGACACCAACAGGAGTGCCGCCCAGGCGCGCACGGCCCGAGACGACGGTACGTGCCCAGCCTCCCATGACCTCGACAAAGCTGCCGCGGTCGAAAAAGCCCGACTGCCAGTCGTTGCCCACCTTGCGGCCCGCCAGCATCCACCGAGGATCGTACGCCGTGCTCGTTGGCACAAAGCCAATCGTGCGATCCACTGGGTCTGGTCCGTACACATTGAGCTTGTCATCCACGTTCCAACGCAGTTGAGGCAAGGGCCCGCCCTGACGGCTCGGCACAAAGCTGATCCAGTTCAGGATCGACTTGACGCCATCAAAGTCGTTGCCGCAGACCAAATGTGAGACACCGTTGGAGTACATGATTTGCGGTCCACCCAGCTGGAGCGAGCTGCTGTACACCTCCTTGCCCAACAACTTGTTGATGGCCGTGTGGCCTGTCAAGATAATGTGAGACTGCTCGCTCTGAATGGTACGGTGACCCAAGCGCACCAGATAGGCACCGATGCCCACGGAGCGGCAGCTGACGAGTGTCAACGTAAAGTTGCTGTCGTATGCCAACGAGGTCTCGCCGGCAATCTGGCCCGAGCCACGCAGGTTCTCCACACCCAAACCATGCTCAGCCCCAAAGATGGCCGTGATCTTGTACCGCGTCTCTCCGGCCTCTTCCACTGCCGTGGCCGTCACCAATTCGCGCTCCGCAGCCCACTTGTAGTCCTCTGGCTTGAGATAGAGGTAGCGGAAGCCTTTCCACGGTTCAGATGGCGAACTCCACGCCACACAGAACTTGGACATGAGCTCCTTCGCCAGGCCAATGCGCGCACCAGAGTTAACGGCAATGTACACGCGGGGCAGACCCAGCTTGCGCGCCAGCTGCGAGGCCCGCAGGAAGAGCAAGTCCTCTTGTGGCGAAAAGGAGCCACTCACTACGGTAATGTCGTTGGCCACCAGAATCATTTCGCGTCCCTGCGGTACCTCCGGGGTTACCAGGCGCAGTCGCCAAGCCACCATACCCACATCGTTCACGCCGTCCGGACGCCGATCCTCCACCAGCTGTCCGTGGCGGTTGAGCACCAGCTCCACTGCCGTCACAGGCTCGTCTGGGACCTCTAGGCTTGGATTGGCTTGGGCCACCGCGGCCCAGCGCTGCTGCAGCGCCACGCGGAAAAGATCAATGTAGTCGTACACGTAGGTGGTGGCGTTTTGGCGCTGTGCCAGATATCGCTTGAGCTGGGTTCGGTCCTTGCACGGGTATGGCTCCTGCACGGCATGCCCATCCCAGGGTCCTGGATGCTCAGGATTGTAGTTCTGGAACTGCGTCTGCATGGTTCGCCAGTTGGTTACCTCCTTGTAGATGTGAATGCTCATGTTGTAGCCAGAGAGGTTGCTGACGTTGAAGCGAATGGGCATCTCGCGCCCATGCTCGGAGAGGCGCACGTTCATGCGAATCTCGGCCTCGAGAACGCGCAACTTCCACAGGCGCTCGCCGTAGCGCAGCACCATTTTCGCCAGCTCCTTTGAGTAGGCCTCTGGATCGAGCTCGACCACGGGCACAAAGTTGATAAAGACGTGGTTGCAGTCAGTGCCCTGGTAACGCTTGTCGGAGAAAACGACCTCAAGCTCGTCGAGGGCCTCGAGCAGAAGGCGCTCGCCGTGCTCGTGCATGAGGTCACGCGAAGCCTCGCGCTGCAGCAGATCAGGGTGACGCATGATTGTTCGTGCGAAGAAGCGGCGGTCTGTGGCACGTCCGCGGTTGCTGCCATTGCGCGCCGTGGCATAGTACAAGTGCAGCTGGGGATTGCGTGTGGTGCAGTGCTCAATGTTGTAGTTGGCCAAGCGGAAGAGGCCCAGCTTGAAGGCCAGCGCTGGATCCACGTGGCGATAAATGGAGTCCTCCTCAAACATGAGGCGCTGACGAAAGGTGTAGTACTTGGGATGAGTGGCGCGCTTGGTGATGATAAAGCTGATGCGGCGGATGGAAACGGCAAAGAGGTCGTCGCGATGCTTGGCCACAAACTCTGAGAGGGCCGCCACCACCGTTTCGTCGTCCTCCATGTCGATTGGACTCTCATCCCAGCGCAGGGCAACACTGAGGACGTTGATGGGCTCGTCATCGTGCCCGCTGTCCTCAAAGAGCGTCTTGATCCAGCCCATTTGGGAGTCGAGGTCCTCGAGCGAGGTAAAGACGGCGAGGACGCCGAGGCGGTCTACAACCTCCTCCGGCCGCGTGGCTGCGACTCGCTGGAGCTGTCGTTCAAGTGACTGCAGATCGTCAATGCTGATGACGTTGTGCATTTCGGACGGCGGATCGGCCGGCGTACGCGAGCCGGATTCCGGGGAACCGGAGAAGAAGTTGGGGCGCTCGCTAGCCACAGAGCTGGCACTCGAATCAAAGAAGCTCACACCCGCACTGAGCGTCTCCATGACGTCCTGCATGGACGAGCGGCTGTGTGCACGAGACCGGGTGGAACCAGCCTCTTCCAGGCGGCGATCACGGTCAAGACCTTCGGGGTCCATGGCCGAGCGGGTCGGGATATGAAACTTGAACTGCACGACCACGCGGCCATTGGGGGTGCGGCGGTGGCTAATGGCGCTCAAGCTGTAGGCCACGTATGCGCGGCGAACGTAGACTTCGAGGGCAGCTTGTACAATGGTTTCTGACTGGTGATAGAAAAAGTCGAGGAGCACGTCAAAAACAGCAGTCTGGGAGTTGACGAGCAACTCCAGCTTTTCGGGGGCGTAGGTACCGGAGAAGCTATCTTCCATGGCCTCGAGGAAGATGGTTTCCATGTTGTTGCGGCGGCGCTCGTAAGAGGGCAGGTGGAGGCGAATGAGGATTTGGCGCGCCGTGAGCGCGATAACCGAGCTGCCCGATGTGGAGAAAGAGGCCATTTCTTTGAGGAGGCTGGGCACGGAGCCCTTATCCTTGGTAATGACACGCTTGTCCACCATGGACAAGAGGAGGTGGCGCACGACAGTGTTGCGGCGGTGCAGGGCCGCATGGGCCATGACGTCGCGCATGACGGCTTGCTGGTCGTCGCCGTGCTTGGTCAGGAGCGTGCGAACAGCGTCCTCCTTGCTGCGGCTGTTGGTGAAAATCTTCTCGACCTGCAAATAGTCTTGCAGCAGGTCCTCGACCAGGCGAAGCGTGTACTCGCGATCACCCTCGCTGTAGGCCTTGGTGAGTGCAAAGATCTCATGGCACGACTGAAACACGGCATCCTTCTCAGCTTGCGTCGGCAAGGTCACGAGATAGTCGTAAATGACGCTATCGATGCGTGCAGCCGGGAAGCGGCAGAGAATCGAGGTAAAATTGCGCTGGTAGCTGCTCAGCTCCATTTGGATACCTTCCTCCACGCCCGCGGGCAACCGACCCGACAAGTTGGCCAGGAGGTCTGCGTGGAAAAGCCAAGAAAAGATGCGCATGAGATGATTGGGAGACCAAAGCATGCATTGGCGACAAAGTCCCCCAGAGCACGGCAAGTCGGGTCCAGATTTCACTGCGGTCTGCTGTGTGTTTCACCCAGGCCATCCGCGAGTGGCACTTTCTGTGTTGTAAACGTACCGCGCAATTGGAGAAGGGGCAGGTGACGGTCGCGACAGAGGTCAAAGAGAAGGTCAACAAGACGATTCAGGCGAGGGCGGAAGTATTCCTCGGGCAGCGGATAGCCCCGCATCAAAGCCTTGAGCTCGCCAATAATGGCCTTCAACACGTTGTGAGGTTTGCCCTCGGGCATTTGCAACGGGTCATACAGCATTGGAAAGGTGCCTATGACCGACGCATGTGGGGGACCGAATGAGAAAAGGGGCAAGGTGGGGTATTGCTCAAGATTAGGCAGGGCAGGGCCGGGCAGGGTGCGTTGAGCCAAGATGATGGTGTGTGGTCCGCGCGCAAGCTGTACCTTCGTAAAGGGTAGGACGCTTGATCTGTGAGGGATCATCCAGGGAGAGCGTGGCAATGACGTCGCCCGATTGGAAGTTGCAGCCCACAGCCATTTCATGTTTGAGCATGCCGGTAGCCCCGACATAGACGGGCGCCACCATCTTCATGGCTTCCACCTCGGCAATGGCATCGCCGGCCTCCACGTGGGCACCATCCGCCACCAAATAATGCAGCAGTTTACCTGGAGCCAAGATGAAAGCATGGAGAAGATAGCAGCCCACGAGGTGAGGCTGAGCCGGCTAGGCGCACGGGGAAACTTGCGGCCATGGGACGACGGGCGCTGTAAAAGACCCGAGGTCTCCATCACAGCCGACCTACCAGTTGCAGTGGTGCGGCAAATGGAAGCATCCTTTTCTTTGTCAAAGATGCATGTCTTGCCGCCCACAACGACACGATAATGAGTGACGTCTTCCTTGACGTGAGTCAAGAAGGATGTGTCATTGAAGCGCACGAGAGAGGAGCCATCGTTCATGCGACGAATATCCACTGGTAGATGCGAATTGTTCATGGTCAACACGTACGAGGTTGGACCCGTGCATGTGGCCTAGGGTGGGTCGGCGCACACACGATGCTTGTTGGTGAGCGGGACAGGCACCATTGAAAGCATCGGGATCTGGAGGGCTCGAAGGGTATATTCATCTTCTTCCTACCTTGACTTTGTACTTGACGTTATCGCAAATGAGTTCAATATCACGCTCCAGCTTGAGCATGTCTGGAGAAAGGACTTGACCGCGAGTGAGGCCACTGCAGTACTCATCGCAAGCATTGTTGATCAGTGTGTCTACAATGTGCACAGCGGCACAGGGGACCGCGTCCAAAGGGTTGGGGCCTTCGACGCGAACGCGCTCCTGAATGAGACCATCAAGCCACTCAGTGGTGACGCGGTTGTTGCGAAAGTCATCGTGTTCGAGGAGCTTGACCAAGTACTCAGAGATGGTACGAAAGTCGGCTTTGATGCTCAGGTCCTGCAGGGCCATGACCATGGCGTTGCGGGCATCTTCGCGGGTTTCACCCCAGGCGAAGCAATGTCCAAACTGGGAGTCGGCAAATTCATGCAGGCCGCCGGTGGCAGAAACGGAAAAGTAACCCCACACGTCCACGGACGAGCGAAAGTTGAGTTCCTGGACGGTGCCGCCGCTGGGCTTGAAACCCTCATCCGGGTTTTCGGCGGTAATGCGGCAGGCAATGACGTGGCCATTGGGTTTGGGCACGGGGCGGGGATCATCAAAGTCAAAGGCGTTTGTGCCATACTTGGGCTGACCATACATGACGCGAATTTCCGGATTGCGGTGCAGAGGCACGCCCATGGCAATTTGCAGCTGAGCGGCGGGCAGATTGAGGCCCGAGACCATCTCTGAGCAAGGGTGCTCGACCTGGAGGCGGGGGTTGAGTTCCAGAAAGTGAAACTCCTTTGTCTCGGCGCTGTAGAGATATTCCACCGTGCCGGCGCTGACGTAGCCGACCATCTTGGAGAGGCGGACCGCGGCACGCTCCATTTCGCGGAAGACGTCCGGGTCAGCCACGGCAGCTGGGGCTTCTTCGATGATTTTTTGATGACGACGTTGGACCGAGCAGTCGCGGCCAAAGACGGACATGCTGTTGCCATACTCATCAGCCAGGACTTGAACTTCGAGGTGGCGCGCTGAAGAGGCCAGCTTCATGATGAAGACGGGGGAGCCGGGGACTTCAGCAAGGACCTGGCGATAGAGGGATGGGAAGGCATCCTTGTTGACGGCTTTGCGGATGCCCTTGCCGCCGCCACCCTCCGAGGCCTTGATCATGACGGGGTAGCCGATGCGGTCGGCCGCGGCCAGGGCCGAGTCGAGGTCGGTGACGCAGCCACGCATGTAAATGTCTTCGGGTACCTGCAGTGGCGTGCCAACAGGGCGGTCCGAATCGAAATCGACGGAGAGGTCCAGTCCACTCCAGGGCAGGCAGGGCACCTCGGCTGATTGGGCAACGATGGACGAGGAAATTTTGTCACCCAATGAGCTGGAGGAGTCCCGAAAGCAGAGGATTACATGAGGGAGGGGCGAAGGGAGGCACCGAGTGAGGACCAGAGCCACATGACGAAACGGAAAAGGATATGCGGTGTTATCACGCGTCAAGAGCGGCCAAAGTTCAGCGTGGGGCACGTACCGCATAGCGTGACCTGGTGGGCCGAGGAAAGTGATGCCTTTGGCGGTGAGGCCCTCGGGGAGCTTGGGGTTTTCGGAGGCATGGCCCCAACCGGCCCAAACAGCCTATGGAAAAAGAAAAGAAGAAAAAAAAACGCCCCTAGTGAGTGGGGCAATTGTCACCCGACCCATGTGCGGAGAACCGGTGCCAGGCTAGAGAGAGCGAGAAAAGATGACGGAGCCACTGGGGTGGCACACAAGGACGATGTCAAATCGCGCGGGCAGAAAAGGCAGAGGAAGCGTACATCAGCTTTGACGCGAACGGCAATGTCGATGATGAGGTCAACGTTGGCGTAGTTGTAATTGTTGGTACCACCGGGCACGTCGACGTGGTGGTCGGCCATGCGCACAAACTCGGCGTTGGCAGCCAGATCTTCGGGGGTGACCATGGCGATAAACTGGATGGCATGGTGATCCCCAAACGTGTTGTAGGCCCACTTGCGAATGGAACGGATGCATTTGACGGCAGCAATGCCGTTGTTGCACAGGAGCAGTCTTTTGATGACGCGCTTGCCCTCGTAGGCTGCCACATATTCCTTAACCGTGCGCAGCATGGGCTGTGTGCCAGATCACAGCAGCAAACATGAGTCTCACTCGCTGAGAGGAGGTTGTGTTGTGTTGGATGATGAATGATTCAGTGCGCTCGCCGAGGAATGCCACAACGCGGCGCCCGTGTTTAAGAGTGGGGTAGGCGTGTACGCGAGCGCATGCAGTACCTTGGAGTTGTCGCCCTCCATGACGGAGAGTTGATGGGCCGAGCCGCTGAGCGACCGATGATGCGGCATGGTGCCGCCTGAGTGAGGTCCCGAGCGAGAGCGTCACGGGGACGGCAGTGGCATTGAGCCACAGCCAGCAGACCGAGCAAAAGCACACAACATGCGTGAGACAGCCATTGATTGCACGATCCAGACTGAAGACGAAGCGATCCGGAATGAGCGGAGGTGGTACAGCGCCATCCGCGCGCGCGTGTGTGCGCGCGGATGAGAGCGCAAGTTCACTCGAGATGAGCTGCAATCGAGCAGCGGGCCATGGAGGAAAGGCACCAGCTATGCCATCTCTTCCCCCCCCCCCACTATCTACCATGCCCTTTTTTATCAGCGCTGGATCCCCTGAACCCGGCTGCCGTTTTGGGCAGATACGTACCTCGGAGCACTCTCTCTCTCTCTCTCTCTCTCTCTCTCTCTCTCTCGTCTTGATCACATGTGTGTGTGAGAGAGAGAGATGAAACGAGAAAAACAAATGAGAGGGAGACGCGAAACAGGGTGGAAATCTAGAGAATGTGCGGTCGTGGCAGGGGTTTGGAAGAGATGGGGTGCGATGGGGGGATCTGCAGCGTTGGAAATCAAAGCAAAAACAACAACATTTTGAGAGAGTCGTAGAGTCAGCGATGAAACGTCAGAGAGACAAAGATACAGGCATCCCTAGAGAGAGATATGCAGATGTAGCAGAGTAGGTCTTTTATACAAACCGCGTGATTTGTGCAGTGGATATGTATGTGTGTGTGTGTGCTCTTGACACACAACCAAAGAGGAGTGAGAGAGAGAGAGAGAGCATCATCGTCACTGACATTTGGTAGTCCTGTTGTCTGGGCGAATAAAAAGAACTGTATCAAACACCGCCTCAAGTCGTCGCGACAGCCATTGTCAGAAACCATTCCAACCCAAAGTGTAATCTATATCACACATTTCATATCAAGGTGTAAAGTGTGATATTTATCAGTGTTCCGTAGAGCTCGTGTCGAGTCTCACACACACACACACACACACACACACACACACACACTGACGGCGGCGGCGAGACGGCGGCGACCGGCGGCAATGGCGGCAATGCATCAGCAGCATCCGCGTGATAAGCGCGTGGCCAAGATTCATGGTATGTCTGATAACCGTGGTTTGGAGTTTACGCATTCCCTCACATCAATGGTGGTGCTGATTGGCTTGGCTGTGCCACCCCCCTTGCACTGTGATGGCTGCGCGAGACACTCGCTCCCCTCACACCTCACACCACGCGTTTCCCCGTCGATCTTCCTTTTCTCATCCGGTAGAGGCGATCCGTCTTGGCAACTTCAGTCAAGGGCTGACCCTCAGCCAGCAGACCCTCAAAAAGGATCCCGGCAACAAGCATGCATTGGTATGTGGCACGCACGCACGCCCCGCTGGACCCAATACCGCGCCGCACACCAACTCGCTCTCTGACCATGACATCGCCCGGCGTGCCAACCAGGCCTTCAAGGCTCTCTCTCTCCGTTGTCTGGGCAAGCATTCCGAGTGCGAGGAGATTCTCGCCCAGTTTACGGATGAAGATATTCACGTCGATCACGTTCGCGTGCGTGCCTGTTTCACAGTTCATGCCTCTTCGCTCCCTGGTGCCAACAGCACTCATCTTAACAGGCACGCTTCCATAGGTACTCGAGCAATGCTACCTCGAAGTAGATGACAGCGAAAATGTGCTGCGACTCTTTCGCGTCTTGGCCGAGAAAATGCCCAAGGATGAAGAAATGCAGATCCAATACTTTATGCGCCTAAGCATCTGGCGCCAGCACAAGCTGGCTCAGGCCCAGGCCACCAACCTGTTCAAACTCTTCAAGAAGCAGCAGTTCCAAGACTGGGCCATCATGTCTCTTTATCTACAGGTGTAGATTCATTCCTTTCTTCTCTCATGTCCTGGACCTTTCCAGCAGAGCAGAGCCTCCTCACCCCCCCCCCCCCCCCCGGTGGAAGGCG